TTTTTCTCGACATATATGCTATTCCCAACATAGTAAACCAGTTGTTGCACCAAGTGTCGGTTATGATCATTGTGTTCTGCATGTCTGAGCTTAAGCCCCACTAAAGGAATTTGATGACAAAATTGGTTTCTTCCCCTTGTTTTTGATTAATTTCTTATGTTCACATGGATAGTAAAATGGTTAAGTTTCTATAAAATCAGCTCCCTGATGAAGAAATTGGTTATCCTAGTTTTTTTCTTGAAATATGTTAGGATATTTTGATTCTCTCATGTTAGGTTAATTTATGTGCATAAGTAGTTGCACTTGACTTCTTCATTTTTACCTATAAGCCCTTTTTAGCTTTATATAGTTTAAGAGACTGGCTGATTCCAATTATTTGCAGTGATAAAACAAAACAGTGCATAATAGGAATTTACTGGTAAGTCAAACCAAAGACTGCCATCTTGTATCGGCCGGTGGTATCGGTCCTGGATCAGACTGGTCAGTACCAGCATATTGTATGTTGGTACGCCGCCTTTTGCCTTTTGAAGTAAATGGTGTTTTCACTATTTAGCATAGTTCAAAATTATATCCTATTTTTTTCCTTTGAAAATTAACTGTAGTAGTCCAATTTTTAGTACTAAGATAGTTGAGAGATTTGTTAAGATATCTGTGTTTCAGAGTTGACTTAGCTTATAACTAGGCACTTAATTGATGTTTGCACTAAAGATTAATGCTACAGTTAGAAACCATTTCGGCTGAAACTTTTTTCCAAGGGGATATGAAAATTGGGGCCTTGGTTATATTGGGTGTTATTCTGTAGGAAAAAACATTATTTAGGATTTAAAATGGACTGCATCCCATTTTGTGTTTAGTTTGGACCAGGGCTCTTTAAGTCAGGCCTGATTGGCTTTTCAAAATGTCCTTATGTAATTAGTAAAAATCATTATAAGCTTTTTTTACCTTATATTGTCTCAAACTGTGTAAAGATGACAATTACAAGGATTATGAAGGGATGGCTAATACAAACAAGAGATGCTACAAGCAATATGAAGTTTAAAGAAGATGCCATTTTGTAGGAGTAGAAGAAAGAGATGTGTTTGTAGGATAGTCCCAATTATGGAGTTAAATGTTAGGAGATGATCAGTCTACTCAGCCCCTGCTTGGCACTAAAGGCTAATTGTTGTATGCATCAAAGATTTTACTTGTCTCTGTATTTAATAACTTCATTTTTCCTTTATTCTTCAGTATTTTGTGTTCTAATATTGAACAACTGAATTTATGCAACTTATAATTATCAGATGTTTTGCTTAAAATACAGACACTTGCTACTGTCATCAGATATGAGTATAACATGCTCTTCATGATCTTCTCACAGAAAAACAGATGATGAGCGTGAGTTTTTAGTAAAATGGAAAGACCTTTCTTATGATGAATGTACATGGGAGGTAGAGACAGACATTTCTACCTTCAGGCCTGAGATCGAACGTTATGAAATGATTCTATCCAGACGTTCTAAAAAATTCAGCAATAAAAGTAGGAATGCCATTCGTGATTCAAAGGAGTTGAAGCAAAAACACAAAGAGTTTCAACATTGTGACTGCAGTCCAGAATTTATTTCAGGTGATGCTATATATCTATATAATGTTGATATCATGTTCCTCATTTAGGTGTTCAATTCTCTCGTTTAGGTTTTGTTAATTTTAATATTTTTCTTTTTTTTTTACATCACTGAAGGTACATTGCATGCATATCAGCTTGAAGGATTAAATTTCCTGCGCTTTTCATGGTCCAAAAATACACATGTAATTCTTGCTGATGAGATGGGTCTTGGTAAGATGCCTCATCTCAACATCATATCACAGTGTCAATTATGATAAGTTTCTTTGCTATGTAAAAGGCTGAGGCACCTTGACTGTGTTCAGGAAAAACAATACAGAGTATTGCTTTTCTGGCTTCTTTGTTTGAAGAGAACATTTCTCCTCATTTAGTCGTGGCACCATTATCAACTTTGCGCAACTGGGAACGTGAGTTTGCAACTTGGGCTCCACAAATGAATGTTGTGAGTGAGGAACCACAACTTAAGTATATAAAGAAATCATTTTTCTGTGATATTTTTTTTTCATGACCCTGGCTGATTATCTGTTGTAGGTAATGTATGGTGGATCTTCCCAGGCTCGTGATGTTATAAAGCAGTATGAATTTTACTACCCCAAAGAAAAGGTTAAGAAACAAAAAAAGAGGAAACCAATTCAGACTAGCAACCAAAAGAAACAATCAATAATAAAGTTCAATGTACTTTTAACGTCATATGAAATGATAAACATGGATTCTGCAGTTCTGAAGTCAATAGAATGGGAGAGCATGGTATTTTTTCATTCTGCTGTAATAGTCCATTAAAAATAGTTTAGCACCTCTGACAATTCTAACACCTCTCTGACAATTCTATCTTCTCATAGATTGTAGATGAGGGCCATAGATTGAAGAACAAGGACTCCAAATTATTTCATCAACTCAAGCTCTACTCAACAAAGCACCGTGTGCTTTTAACTGGAACCCCTCTTCAGGTCACTCTGCTTGTCATTCATTTTAATGAAGCTTTTCTTGTGCTTTTCTTTCTGTGGATAAACTATGAACTAATCTTTTTCTACAATTCTTTTTAAAGTTATTTTTCATCTTTCTGAGGAGTATCTTACTGGCTTCTAGTTGATAAGATTTTTAGACTGAGTCTTAAACCTGTTAGATTAGAATATAACTAGATTGACTTGACAATGACAACTTTACTTTTCTGACTGCTATACTACAGCCTAGCGAGCACTAGCGACATGGTAGTAGTTTTCTGTGTGTTTGTATGATGGGAAGTGCATTTGCCTGCTAACTTTTTGTATAGTGATAATTTATTATTTTAAAGATTAACATCAAAGATCAAATTTATTGGTCATGTTAGACTGTCAGGCAATATGGTAGTATTTTTATCAAGACTTTGATATCATGCCTTTTTCTTGCTACCAAGTATTTAAGACATTAGGCCAATGCAACTTTTACGTGTGGAATTTCATTGCTTAAAGTTAAAATACTCCTTTTTATAAGTAGATTTTACAACCTTCTGCCTTAAGATGATTTTTTTTAAAAATTCTATCTGGATTTGTTAGTGCTGCATGATAACTGTTAATGCAACACATAATGCCATAGCATTTTGGTGTTATTGAAGAATGTCACTTTGTTCATGTTTTTTGTTGGCTTGTCATTTCAAACTTTTCAAATCATTTATAGATGCCTTGTGTATTCTTCTCAGAACAACCTGGATGAGCTCTTCATGCTTATGCACTTCCTTGATGCTGGAAAGGTGAGTGAAACATTAATTTGGTTTGTCAAAATATTTTCTTGGATGGTGGAACAGTTTGAATATTTTCCTTATTTCTTTTATTATCAAATTCACTTTGGTTGTACCCATCTTTTCTTTCCCTGGATTGCTCTCATAGTGTTCTTTTTCCAGCTTGATAATTTGCATCATCATCCATTATTTTTTTAATTTTAAATTGTTCACACTTTTTATTTTCATATCTCTCACCAATATCCAAACTCAGATTTATGAAAGCTTCACAATGTGGTCAAAGTGATTTATGATCATGTTATTGGATATAATGGATGTTTTTTTGGTTAAGTTGACCTTGTGAGCTCATCTTAAGGAATAAACAATATACAGATATTTAAAAAGCTTTGAAGTCTCTAGCTTTATGTTATTCTGGATTTAAATTTTATTAGAAAAAGCTAGATACATTGAGTACAAATATGTGTACTATTGCAAACACGTTTATTTTTTTTGCTGTTTCTAGTTTGCAAGTATAGAGGATTTCCAGAAGGAGTTCAAGGATATCAACCAGGAAGAGCAAATTGATAGGCTTCACAAAATGCTGGCTCCACACTTGTTGCGAAGTATGCTTCTGTTTTTTCTTGCATTACATAAGGTTCTTTTTTTCCAATTAAATGAATGTTATTATGTTGTAAGACACTTCTTTTTCTCTTTACATATAATGGTTCAGTATTTTGGAGGAAATAATCTGATTATTTTTCATGTTATGGTGGCTGCATATGAGAGTTTTACAACTATGCTCGTTGATGTGCGATAATGAGTTTCTTGATATGCTGTATCTGCTAACATAGACAAATTGTTTTAAGTGGAGTAATTTCTCCAGAACCACAATGCATAAACCTGCTTATGGCGAGGCTGCAGAACCACGATGCAGTAGGGTGGTGACATACTAGGCGGCAGTGAAGTAGACAGTGATAACGAAATGACATGACACTGGGATGGTGACGGCGAGGCAGAGTGGTGACGGTGAGATAACGGAACGATGAGAGAAACAAAGGGATGGGATAACACAGTGAAGTAGACATATTGTTTTACTATTTTTTATTGTTTACTATTTCTAAAGTACTCTATGGGTGAATAAAGTGGTTGGATCTTCCACCGCTAGATTATTAACCAGGTTTTAAACTTGGTTTTTTATTCTACGGTTGACATTGATTTCAAGCATTACACAAAGAGTACATTAATTAAGCTGGAGTTAGTTTCACTCAGTATGTAACATATGGAATCTTAAAATTCTTTTACTTGGTTGATATATTTTTCTATAAATTCATATAGCTTTTCACTCTTTTTCTTTAATTATTATTTTTAACCTGGAATTACTTGGTTTGTATTCATTGAGCTTTCTTGATTGTGACTGTTGATTTTTATTACTATTTTGTATTCTTTACTATTTCTAAAGTACTATATGGATGAATAAAGTGGTTGGATCTTCCACTGATAGATTATTAGCCAGGTTTTAAACTTGGTTTTTTATTCTACGGTTGACATTGATTTCAAGCATTACACAAAGAGTACATTAATTAAGCTGGAATTAGTTTCACTCGGTATGTAAGATATGGAATCTTAAATTTTTTTACTTGGTTGATATATTTTTCTATAAAATTCATATAGCTTTTCACTCTTTTTCTTTAATTATTATTATTATTTTTTTCTTCAGAAACCTATTGTTGCATTGTAAGCTGATGAAAGGATCTATCTTTTGTCTTGAAAATGAAAGTTAATGTATAAAAGAATATCTGAATTTGTTTTTACTAAAAGAAACACCCCATGAATTCTTTCAAGAACATGATTAGGCAATAAGCAGAATTTTGGTTTTGTAGTTCCTTCCTTTTGACTCTGCTGTTTGATAAAGGTCATATAACTTTCAAGAATTGACCATGCTGCCCTTGCTGATAGACAGATTATCCATTGGCACATTCCTCCGTGCATGCCATGTAGCATGCCAGATGTGAAACTGGGTAGAAGCATAGGTCTGTTTTTATAACAGGGCTTGATATTTCTTTGAATTGTGCGGACCTGAGTCTAGCACATGCTTGGCATGTAGCGCTGGATCCTTGGTAATTCTAACTTATCTAACACTTGATAGTTTTTTGTAATATAAACCAGCACACAAGGTTTGAAACAGTATTATGTATAAAGAGAAGCATGTTAATCTGTTTAAATGCAGCATCAACTATAATTGTGATGATGTGGAAAAACACAACAATCAGTCGAGTTTCTTCATTTCTTTTTCTGGATTTAGAAAATGCACAAAGTCCTGTATCCATTGACTATTGTTTCATTTACTGTATATAGCAATGCAGAAATCGTAATTAATGGTCCAGCTGAATTTACAATAGCAAATTGAAAGAGATTGATAACTCTTGATATTTTGAGACAAATAATTCTTTTTGTGTATGGTTCTAGGAGTCAAGAAAGATGTCATGAAGGATCTTCCGCCTAAAAAGGAATTAATTTTAAGGGTTGAATTAAGCAGTAAACAAAAAGAATATTATAAAGCCATCCTTACTCGTAACTACCAAATACTTGCTCGTCGTGGTGGTGCACAGGTATTATTTTCCAGTTGACATTATTTAAGTGCCTTGCTTTTTTATATTGATTGCTGATCCCTTTTTCTCTTGTAGATATCACTTATCAATGTTGTTATGGAGCTTCGTAAGCTCTGTTGTCATGCATATATGCTAGAAGGTGTAGAACCTGCTACTGAGCCAACAGATCCTGTTGAAGGTTTGAGGTATATTTATATCACTGAACCTATTGCTTAAGAAATTTAAATTATGTTTCATATATTGTTGATATCAATGTTGGAAAAAGGAGGAATTGATTTTATGAAGCTAAAGCCCTATTGGATGTTGAGTTTCTTGCTTAGTGCTATCTCATTCATGACTCCAACGGTATGGAGAAAAGGTAGAATGTGAAGAGTTGGAGTCTAAAGAGTTAGGAATTGGTACTCTTTTGGTATTTGATAAATCACCTGCTGGTCTATTTTAATTTTTTAAAGATCAGGGTTTACCTGATTGTTTACATCCTCTTGTTTCATGATTCAATCTCTCTGCTTAGTTTGTTCTTACTTTTCAAACCTGCGAGATCTATAATACATTTGAACAGGGTCTAAGATAAGCGTTTGATCCTGTGCAAGTTATTTTCTAAAGTCAACATCCATTTACTTGTTGTTACCAAATTGGGTTCAGACATTTACACCGTTTTAAAGAATACTGTGTGTTTTCTCAATCCTTCAAGAAATAACTTACTTCGATGAAAATTATCAAGTCCCTCTATGTGGTTTATTTGGTTTATATTTATAGCTTTACAAAATTTAATAAAGTGGTGAGCCCAGTGCATGAAGCTCTTGCTGATGCAGGATCTGGTGAGGGTCAATTATATTTTGGAGTACCTCTATAATTATGGAGAGACTATTTCTGAGATTCAAACCCTAGTTTCCTAGGTTACAGAAGGACAACCTTGCTGTTGTACTAATGCAAGCTTTACAAAATTTAATCCATTTCGAAAATGAGCTGTTATTTTATGTTCTAGATGCTATTTTGTTGGAGAGAAGCATTTCGAAAATGAATTATCTTATATCCTAGATGCTATTTTGGAGTGCATGTACTATTGTTTATGCATTTCGTTGAATCTTACATGTCTAATTTATCATCTGTCTCTGAAAGATCCTCTTTAGTCTTTACCTTCCAAGTTTGAACTCTTGCATGCTTTTCTAATAAGTTTTCCTTCTCGATACTACTTTTTGATCCTCCCATCAATTGCTTTCAACTCGAAGACCTTGTTCTTTAATATCTGCCATATCATTACATCGGAGTGTACACAACAAATTAGGTGGTTCTGGTGTATAAATTTTCACCTGACAGATTTTATACCTAAAGCATTAGTTCGGTGGTGGTGTATTAGACCCATTTATCCTTTGTTGATGTTCAAATCCTCATCCAACAAATATGTTATACATAGAATAGTAGTATGGTGTTGTACCTAACTCATTTGCTTTAGGTTGCGAAATCTTATTTAACAAGTTTTTATACCCAAAGTATTAATCTGATGGTGGTGTGTCGGACCTGTTTACCCTTAAATTGAGTGTTCAACTCCTCATCTGTCAAATGTTTACACATAAAGCATCGGTTTGGTAATATATCAGACCCACTTACCATTAGGTTAAAGATTCAAGTCCTCATTGGTCTGGAACTCTTTCATTTTCTTAATGAAATGAGTTTGGTTAGGTCTGCCTTTGCCTCAAATTCTTTTGACCTATTGGGTTGGGACAACATTTTTTTAAATATTGAAGCATTAATGACAATATTTCTTATGAAGATCATGAAAATAAAACAATGTGCACTTTCTTTGCATTTCCAGACAACTTTTAGATGCTTCTGGGAAAATGCAGTTGTTGGATAAAATGATGGTGAAGCTTAAGGAACAAGGCCACAGGGTTCTTATATATTCACAGTTTCAACACATGCTAGACTTGTTGGAAGATTACTTGAGCTACAAGGTAAATGATGCTAATGTCTTTAATGTTTTTGTATTTGAGCAAATACTTATACAGGGCGTATTGCATGTTCCTTCTTATTGATAAATGGCAGACTGTGTGCTTGATATGGTATTGCACTGTTATTTTTTCAGAAATGGACATATGAACGTATTGATGGCAAAGTCAGCGGAGCTGAGAGACAGATCCGTATAGATCGTTTCAACGCTAAGAACTCCACCAAATTTTGTTTCCTTCTTTCCACTAGAGCTGGTGGATTGGGCATAAACCTTGCAACTGCTGATACTGTTTTCATATATGATAGGTAATTGTAATATTGTGCACTTCCTGTCCATGCTCAGTTTTCTGTTTCAGGTCTTTCCATTTGGTATGTCTACTTGATACTTATTTACGGTGTCCACGCTTTGCAATTTACAGTGATTGGAATCCGCATGCAGATCTACAAGCAATGGCAAGGGCTCATAGATTAGGCCAGACTAATAAGGTTAGGTTTAATCTTAAATATCCTGGTTCTGGGTCGCATATGTGGCCTGTATAGATTGTTGTTCTTGATACGATCTGAAAATTTCTCTCTCTCTCTCTCTCTCTCTCTCTCTCTCTGCATCTATCATGTAAATGTTATGCCCATTTCTGTTTCTCGAGTTGTAGGTTATGATATATAGGCTAATTACTCGGGGAACAATTGAAGAACGGATGATGCAGATGACAAAAAAGAAGATGATACTAGAGCATCTTGTTGTTGGCCGACTCAAGGCACAAAATGTTAATCAGGCATGCTTCTCTTCCTATGAACCTTTTTTGACTGCTACTGCAACTGATATTTATACAAATATTTTTGTATGAAATTATGCCATGTACATATGATTAGTAGTACATTTCTTTACTACTACCATGAGTACAACAAAATTGACAAGCCCTAAGATCTCGTTCTTTTGGGGTTGTTATCACTATTATGAACACCTTTATAATTTTTAAAATGGATGTTCATTCCTTTTTAATGTTAAAGCATATACAATTTTTGCTTTTAGTGCACTCATGATGGTGATATCTTGAAGACATATGCTCAGATATATACATGAATAATAAAAGCCCCTTTGGAGTGTCATTATTTTTGACAAAATTAATGATTATTTTACCTTACATTTTCATGCAATAAAGTTTATCATTCTATTAGAGCTTTATACATGTGGCCAGCACTACCTTTGGAAGCATGTACAGTTATGTACTTAAAAGCAAGGGTTTTAATTTCGAATGATATCGCCCATACCGGTCCGTTAGTAGATCGATACGTGGACCGCCTGCTATCGGGCGATATCGTCGATTGGGGTTGTTTTCGACCTGTTACCATTCGAAATTGGTTGGTAACGGTCGATTTTGACCATCGCTGCCCGTTACCGGGCGGTATTAGCCGAAGGAGAAGGAAGAAGAGAGAACCTGAAGATTCGACGTCGCTCTCCCTCGACGATCCCGATCCGTCGCCGTCCTCCCTCGCCAGACGCCGCATATGAGATGTCACCTCCTACTCGTCTGAGGCGACGAGGCCTCGACGTCGTCGGTGACTTCTCCTCATCCGCGCGGGGAGCTTCGTAGGGAGAACGCTCGGTTTCTTCTCCTCGTGTGGGGAGAAGAAACCGGAGAAGAAACCTCTTCTCCTTGGTTTCTTCTCCCTGCGTGGGGAGAAGAAATGAGGCGACGTCGCCTCGATGACGTTGCCCTTTTTTTAATTATTTTTAAACTTTTATTATTATTATGATTATTATATATATATACCGATTTTTCTCTTCGGTTTCTTCTCCCCGTGTGGGGAGAAGAAACGAGGAGACGTCGCCTCTTTTATTATTTTTTTAACCTTTTATTATATATATATATATATGTATGTATATGTATATGTATATGTATATATGTATGTCTATATATACATACCGCTCGGTACGCTCGTACGTCGAAGCATACCACTCGGTACGCTCGTACCATACCGAGCTGAGATCGAAACGTTGGTACGGTACGAAATTACAATCATTGCTTAAAAGTAATATCCTTGTATTCTTGTTAAAATGATTGTCCTTATTAGTGACGATGTTAAGATTGGAAACTGTGTTTACCTAAGGATTAAAGTTTGCATATTCTTCTCGTGGCAAGTGGTCTCTGGTACAGTATATGAATACTATTGTACCATGCCAGTTGGAACTAAAGTATATTGCACTTTCATATAAAAGAATGCTTTACAATACTCCTGTAGATGTAGCTAGCTGTTTTGTATTATGTTTTAACACTTCTTTAACTTTAAAAAAATAATAAAGATCTTAAGAACTATACATATGGGTGTGGTAGATGGACCTTGTTGTTCATCACTGAAGTTATTGATGCATCAGGTCATTCTCTAATGGTACATTGCACTTTGATCCTTGTGTTTTTCAGAGATGCGTCTAGTGATATGAATGGCACGTGTCAAAATAGGATGCTAGGAAGATATTGGCACAACATATCAATGTGACAGAGATGCTGGCACTTGGAAAAGCCAATGTTCAAATTGTCTTTCCTGACACAAGGGTGTGCCAATCTGTATGCCGCTATACTGTCAATTTAGAAGAGTATTGGCAGAACCTTGTGCTACGAAACGCCAGCTATTGTCTTGAACCCATATAGATTTATAAAGTCATTATCACTAATGTTCATTTCATATGATTCTGAATGGTTTTGGCAGAATTATCTGTTTTCAGTAAAAATTCTTGTTGACTATGCCTGCCTTGGTGATCTTACCCCCAGTTGGCAAGTTCCGATCGCAGCTGACTTGTTTAGGTTAATTTTGATGAGTTCAAGCCAACACTGAAATTGAACTTATGAAACCTAGTCCTCATTTTCTCTTAAGATCTTTTCATTTCAACTTTTAAAGATTTGTCTTGCAAGTATTGTGATGATTGGAAAAAAAATCTTTTAGACACGTTACTGAATAAGGTTGTCTTTCTTAGCTTATTTTATTTATTTTCATATAATTTAATGTGTATGCAAACAATGTTTGATAAGCACAATATTGTGAACAACATGCTACTTGGTGGTTATAGGGCTCTTGTGGGAGCATTCAGCTTTTAGCATATAAGTGAACCGTTTTGTGATCTCATGCAATACCAATACAGAAATAGAACATAACTTCTCAAATCTTTCATACATTACTCTTGACAATTTCAACCAGTCAGTTCTTTAAATTAATTTAAGTTGATTTTCAACAAGTAACAATCAGTAGGATCAGTACTGTCCTCAATTATTGGTAAATAAAATGAAAGTAACTTTGAGACAAAAATAGTATAAATTTTTTAGTGTTTGCCATTACAAGAAGGTTTGTTTTCCTTTTCTATATATGCCAAGCTTCATAATGAGTTTCACTTGAATATGGATGAAATCTTAAGCTTTTTATGAGTCAACTTTTGAAGAAAATAGTTCTGATGTCCCACAAGTCTCAACAATAAGAACAAAACTTCACACAAACGACAGCAGCTCAGGGTTTGACAAATGCACATGATATAATAGTTCATAGTGTCCTTGTAAAACTGTTATGCGGGTTAATTGCATAGAAATGCTTTCACCTTGTCAATCTGATTAGGTGTCAGCAGTCCTAGCATTACAGGTGTAATGATGGTTATAAATTTATTATATTTGAGGTGAATCTAAAGACATAGTCGTTAGGTTAAAGTTAAACAAAACTGTATGCTTCAGAATGATATAAATTTATTATATCATTCACATTTTTGTTAATGAAGTTCCTTCACTTCTTTAGTTTGACTCTAATTTTGAAGGTTTATCTCTTAAGCTGCTTAAGTTTATTAACCAGATATAATATGATGTTTTTATTTTCTATTTAAAATTCTGATTTTAACTTTGATGTCAAGCATGTCTATAATACTTGCTTTCAACGTTTTAAATGCTGGTATCAGTACCAATACTGGGCTTATTGGTTTTTTATTGCATGGTGTGCCACCGTACACTATTAAAAACAGACTAGAAAATTGTTTGATATGTTGGAACTGTTGGTAAGTCGGTATGCCAACTAACCGGTACATGTATCACAGTATTCAAAAGTCAGGACACACCTATATATGCAAGTTATGCTGATATCATCGAGCTAATAATTGTTTGTTTAGCATTTCATCTGTTCTATTTGTTTCTCAAGTCTCCGTGAGAATCTATCACAAGGCTTGCCCAACGACCTTTTGTCATTCCCTTCTCTAGTTTTTGAGATATGTATTCTCATTGAAGCATCAATTCTTTGTCAAGAAATATTTATTTTGCCATTTATGCTTGTATTTAAGTTCTACACAATGTACAAGATTTATTTATTTTTGGAGCTCGAGTATTGAAGGCTAGAAGCATTTTTCAGCCACAAGTCAACAAACTTTTGTTATTGATTTGTGATTGAGAATGATATCTTCTATTTGAATGTAGGAAGAGTTGGATGACATAATAAGATATGGTTCAAAGGAGTTATTTGTTGATGAAAGTGATGAAGCTAAATCTCGTCAAATACATTATGATGACTCTGCAATTGACAGGCAAGATTTTAATAAAGTATGAGCTTATTAAGAAAAATGGTAGAAAGTTAATTGTGACATAATATATAAATATATATATATATATATATTTTTGGTAGATTGCTCAATCGTGATCATATTAGTGGCGAAGAATCTTCAGTTGACGAAGAGGAGGATGACTTCCTGAAAGCATTTAAGGTACTTCTCTTGTGTGACATCATGAACTTCATATTGGCAGTATTGTCGTCTTCTTTAGATTCTTGCACGTGACAGTTTTTGAGTTGTCTGTTCCTTGCATGTTTAATACTGTTAACAAGTTGGAGGGTGAAATTATATTACCAATAAAGCAATTGCATAGCTGTTCTAACTTCTGAAAGTAATATAATGTAATAAGAGGGTGAGTGTTGGTCTATCCTCTTAGTTGGTCTGTTGCAATCAAGGCATCATAGGCAAGGCTTTAATTTTCATCGCAACACTGTTGTGCATATCAGTCAGCAGGATATGGCTTGGGTCATTTTTGTCACAACGATTAGTCAGCAGTATGAGTGATGCACTCTTGTGCAGGACAACTTATATTGCTGTGATTATATCATTTCCGATCTTATTTGCTCCTAGTTTATGCCTTATATGTTCCTTGTTTTTACATTTTAGGTTGCAAATTTTGAGTACATAGATGAAGTTGAAGCTGCAGCTGCTGAAGAAGAAGAATCGAAGAAACAATTACCCAATGAAAAAGCTTCTAATTCTAACACCGATAGGGCAAACTACTGGGATGAATTACTGAAAGACAGATATGAAGTTCAGCAAATTGAAGAGTTTACCTCCATGGGCAAGGGAAAACGCAGTCGCAAACAGGTATGACAATCCTTATCAAGCTTAGTCACATGTTCAAGTTGTGATCTGTAATAATTATATATTTTACATTTTCTAGTCATCTTTTCCTGGAAATACATCTAACACCATGTTTTGTCTGCTCTTTTCCTTGTCTAAAATTCCACATTTGTTTTCTTTATGGTTATTTCCTTTTTTATCTTATTCATATGTTTATTTCTTCTACAATTATCATTCTGTAGAATTGCACCCAACTTCTGGCTCTCATGCTTTTTCTATGTTTCCTATATTATTCTACTTGCTTTGTAATGATTATTTTGGTCTTTACCCACTTGTAGTTGTCATGGTCGTATACCATTTTGCTTTTCACACAACATAATTCAGAAGGTACATGATTAAGAGAAAGTTTTGTGTCTTGTCATTGCCATAAGATCATTGATTTTGTAGCTGTCATGATTATTGGAATTGGCAGTGTCTTGTAGATAAATAAATCAAAGACTTCTAGAGTCTCAACATAAGTGTATGCCGAGGCTTTCATCTGCAATGAGTTATTTATTAAGGAAAGTTGGCTGTTGGCTGTTGAATTCCATTTAGTGTAGGAGATCACTGTTGTCAAAACTTCTAGGTGCTATTATTGCCTAAGACTTTAGGAGCTCATCTTGGCTCTTGCCCTGTAAAACAAGACACTTAACTTAACAAATTGTAAATATATTTAATGAAAAGAAAAATCCTAAAACAATAACTTAAATTCAACTATGACCTTTTATCATTATATGAGAATTTAACATCATATTACATAAGCCTAGTTATCTATAAAATGTTCAATCAACAAAATATAATTAAATTAGTTAATATTTAAATAACAAACCAATAGAAAATCAGATTCATTATATCATCATCAACATCATGCATGATACAGCCCTGCAACTTGTTTAACATCTCAGAAATGGTCCAAAACAAGTCTTTCTGCTCGACATGGGCTAAAATAATGATAATGAAATCTGTGCCATGAAAAATAATATCTGATTTTGGATTTTGACATTGTTCTTCTTAGTGCAGTTCGATCCATTCATCATACCTGCCTTTTTGTGATCTTATCAACAATTTTCGTACCACTTCTTGAGCATTTTAAATTTGCAATAATTGCTGTAATTTCGTTTATGGTAGATGGGAAATTCAGAAACTAATGAGGAACCTTTTTTGTACTTCTATAGGGTTTAAAGTATATGTCATCATTACCATATTAGTTTTAAAATTTTTACCTTCATTAATAGATCATCTTTTGTTGCTAAGATTTGTCTGTCTATTTTTATCTTGCAATATTCATGGATTCCATTTAGATGGCATCTGCTGAGGAAGATATTGCTGGTTTGCGGGATGTAACCTCTGAAGATGAGGATTACAGTTATGAAGATGACTTGACAGACACTGAAGCTAGCATACCTGGAAGTGTGTCTGGCAGAAGGGGTCAGTTCTCAAAGAGGAAAACACGTGGTATTTTATCTGGAGTACCTCCTTATCATTATATGGGGACCACTAGGTTCTTATAGTGGAACCCAGTCTAATTTCTGTAACAAAATTGCTGCAGGTTATTTAGAGCCAATTCCTCTAATGGAGGGGGAGGGGAAGTCTTTTAGGGTTCTTGGATTCAATCAAAACCAGAGGTCTTTATTCCAGCAATTAGTCATGAGGTAATGATGTCTTTAATAGTTTTAATACTCTATCATGAAATTTATTAATTGCATTTTGTGCACTATCATCTTTCTGCGTCTCTTTGCTTCTGGTCAGTTGTAAGCAATTCCACCATGAAACTTAGCTATGGTTCAACTTTATGTCCTGGTTTTGTTTATCGTGGTTATAACTAAGCCAAGTTATGCAATTTCTTGGGCATATATACAGTATCTTTGGTGATCAATGAGTCATTATTTTCTTGACTTTCTTCACTATTTTACATTTGATACTATGAGTCATTGACTTCTTCTATAGCTCGCTAAATAGTTAGTTCTTCTTTATCAACTTTAGTGTTCCTAAATCCAGGACTTGTTATTCCTTTGAAAACTAACCTTCTTTCATATTTAAATATTTTTCTCTTCTGCAACTTCACAGGTTTGGCTTTCATGATTATTCATGGAAGGAATATCTTCCTCGACTAAAAGGGAAAAGTTGGCAGGAAGTTCAAGAGTATGCTACATATCTTTGGCTTGCTATCTTAACTTGAAATTACGTTTCATGATAGTGTCAATTTATGTAGTTACTTCAAAACGATATGCAGCTTTTGTGAAGCTTTTTTTTTTTGTTGGATTTAAAATTACTTATCATTTTGCACATACCATAAGCCAGGTTCCAGAAATTAGCTCCAATTAATGATGAAAATCCATTTGCACATGTTTTGGTTGAAGTTAAACCAGTCTTTGTTCCTTTATGTGTGAAGTGGTTTACATAGGATTTTAAAGTCAATAATCATTTCTTGAGAATTCAATAAGCAATTTAGATCAGCATCCCTGGGTCCGTAGTCAGTGCTTGGCCTTTTTGCTTAATAATTACCCTACTGCAGAGTGCAGACTCTGGCAGTACGAGCTTTGTGGTCTTTTTTTTTATGTGTAACACTATTCATATATGATTGGTGTAATTTTAGAACTTTTCTACATCAATTTGGTTTTGATCATTACAAGTATAGCAAATATTCTTATATATACATGACAGATAGGTACCAAGAATATATATATATATATATATATATATATATATATATATAATGTTTTCTTTTTTGCCGAGGTATAGTTCTTCTCTTTTGTGGAAATGAAAATCTCATGTATAGAGCCTACCAGGTGTTGAGCATGCCTCTTATCAATGCCAATTTCCAATTTATTTTTTTTGGAGAAAGAATATGCATATACAAGCAACAAATTTTACATATTTAGGGGCAAAGATGTCAATAAGAGTAATCTTTTTCAATAAGTATATCTTTTTGTTAAATGAAATCGAAGGTATTTACCCTCTTGGTGGAATTGCCAGTGTTTACTTGGGAAAGTCTAGTGACTTTAAAATCTTTTTTGTCCATGAAGCTCTGTTGACTCACTGGAAGTGCCACTGCATGGATCTCTAGTTTGAAGCAAGATGCTAAAGTTCTTATCTGATATAGTAACTTTAAGAGAGAGATTAATCCTAGGTGAAAGGATCAACAAAATGCATTTCTAGGTGCCAGGCAGCCATTGTAGGTCAAGGTAGCTAAAAAAAAGTTAAAAAAAACATAAGTTAGCGGAATGAGTAGGAACATAGACGTGATGAAAACAATAAGCTGATTGGATATCAGCTAAGAGTTGTTTAGAAGTCGAGGAAAACTAAGTATATCTCTTACCTATCACATTAAATGGTGATTTTTTAGATCATCTCATGTCCTGCATCAATGAATTCTGTTAGGAAGATACTAGTTTTTCTTCATTACCTATTGTTGATCTTTAGTCCTGATGCATGGACTTTCTGAATTTTAAATGTATGTATCTGCTTTTAAAAGTTTCTATATTCATGATGTTACTGGTTCATCTGTACTTCTAATAGCTATGCCGAACTCTTCATGAGACATCTTCAAGAGGATATAACAGACTTGCCGAACTTTTCAGGTGCATATTGTTTAAACATCATCTATTGGTTCTCCTAGATATGTTTCATCATGATAATTTCACTTTTTTCTCTTTTTTATGACAGATGGTGTGCCAAAAGAAGGAGCACGTGTTGATGATATACTGGTTAGAATTGCACATATTCAGTTGATAGAGGAGAAGGTATGTATTGTTCTCTTATGAGGCCACCTACTAAGAATTTCCTTCTTTAGTGTTCATGCTATAATGTTGATTTTGAAGTTTGAACTAATTACAAGACTATCTATTACTGTCTTATTTGGTAAATCTACTTGATTCTGTTAATCTGCCATTTAAACATCATGTTTTGTCATCTTAAGGAACCCATTTCATTCATAACAAGATTTTGCTTTAGATAAATGCTCTTATTTTTCTTGAGTATCTTGGGGTAGTAGAAATACATTTTTAAGTGGTATAGAAGGGATTGATTGGAAGGTGAAACTTTTGTCAAGTATCTTGTGAAAAATATGTAGATATCAATTTACGCTAATTCCTTGAACCTAATTGGTGTTGTAAATATCCTTTGTATTAGTATCACAATGAAGAATAGTTAATGTAAGACTTAAAATACTGCCTGTAACGACTGTTGTCTCAGTGTACTTCAGCCCAGCAGCCAATCAGGACACAGACCAAATTATTTCAGCTGGTCAATCCATTATAGGCTATGCTACCTGGTAAGTTCATTGTACCAAGCTTACTTGGTGGTAAGCAGATCAGTACTATATGACACCGAATGGTATAGTCTACCATCCAGTATTATTGTTTAGGATGGCCATCACACACTTATTTTTCCTTTTTTTTGGTTCTTCTCTTTCTACTTCTCTCTCTCTCTCTGCCTTTTCCTTGCCATTGCCAACGTCCATAAAGTTAAAGCCACATTTGAATGCTAATTTTAGAAAGTAGTAGGAAACTGACAGTTCTGACATGCTAGTTTAATGTCTTTTGCAAATTTCATAAGTTATGACATGACTACATTAGCCACAATCCTATTTTAGTTTATAATTTTGTACAAGAAGAAAGAAAAGGAAGTCAAATAAAAGGAAGGAGACTATTATATGTTTGATTGAATATTTTAAAGGAAATAGATTGAAGATTTCACCCTCCAAGAAAACTTCTTCTTGATTGAAGATTATATTAAAGATGGAAGGCTTATCAATCATGTCTTAAAAAACGAAGACTTTTTCCAAATCATATTTGAAATGTTATATTTTTCATAGAAAAAACAAGTGATTGATCTGACTACATATAAATGTATTATCCTTTTTTCTTGTACTTTGGGGGTCTACAAAAGGGAAAATTGGATTGTAATTGAGATAAATAAAAACAATGAAAGAATGAAAATATGTTTTTCTGTATTATGTGTGAGTGGTGTGAATTCATATATATATTTATATTTTTTTCAATAGTATCAATCCATCGTTCATGTGTGCAGAGGTGCGAAGTGTTCATCTCTAGGAATTTTCCTTGAGCTAGAGCAAGTGTGGTGGTATCATCTTTTTCCTATTATCTTTCTATTATTAGCTTCTCTCTTTCTTGTTGTGTATTCACCAAAAAAACTTCCTCATTGTGAGATCATCCTACATCAATGTCTCATGACATATATGCATCAGCTAAGTAGATGATAATGTAAAAAGTTTTCTCAAGTAACCTGTGCTACTGGCTAGATGCATGGACTATTCCTGGGTTATATTAACTTATAAAGTGATAATGTAACTTCTCCCTTGAGTTTAATCAGGGCTACTAGCATGATGCCTAGACTATGCATGGGTTTATCAGCAATGTATGTTGTTTTGCTCGGGTATTTACCTGTCCGAGCCTGAACCGAGATGCAGACCATCCCCATTTTGGGTGGTCTAATTCAACCTATTAAGAAAAGAATATATATATATATATATATATGTATATATATATATATGTATATGTATGTATATATATATATATGTATGTATATATATATATATATGTATGTATATATATATATATGTATATATATATTCATCTTTGTATGTATTTTGTCTGGTTGTTTTGATTACAAGTGCCAATGAGTCTGCCAAGTGGTGCCATTTATATTTTTCCTCTGACATTCTTATTGAATATCTAATGCATTCTTATGGTTTACAAACGTTTACATCAATACTGTCACTTTTCACTTTAATATGGTGAATTAGTGTTTGTATTTGACACTTCTGTTATGAGGTCATTAATTTCATTTATAGTAAATCTAGTAGTATATAGTCATTTAGTAATGATGTGGAATTGTATGATTTTTGTTTTGATTTCCACAGATGAAATTTATGCGGGAGAATCCTGGAGCTAACCTTTTTCCAGAAGATGTATTGCTACATTTTCCTGGCCTGGCTGGGAGATTCTGGAAGGAAGAACATGATTTGTTATTGCTAAAAGCTAAGTTGAAGTATGGAACAACCATTGAACTTTGATCTACTTGTGTTTATATATCTAGTAATCCTTTTTGCTGTATTTTAATTGTTTCTGGAGACTTTGATTAATAAATAAAGATCTTTGTTTCCATTACACAGAGTATGATGCTTCAAAATCAAGATTTTTAGTGTTAAATTAGTCTTCTTTATTTGTAGGTAATACTAACTTTAGAAAATGTGGCATGTGTGGTGAAAAAGGGTTAGCGAAAGCAAAAGTTGAAAATGTGTGTATAATTTGGGTACCTAAAGAGTGAAACTGCAAATGCTTGTGTATGTTACATAATACAGCTAAGTAACTTGTTGAAGTATTCTAAAATGTTTTCTCACAACTTATAGGGAAAACAATTGAAAACACGGATTAAAGCAACTGAATTGGAAGTAAACATTTGTGGCATCTGTGTAGCCAAAACCACGATTACGTAATCGGCAGTTTCGGTTCCAGAATTGATGGTTCTGAACCTTCCTGTTTTCCAAAACCAGGAACTGGAATCAAACCAGCAGGTTGGTTCTAGAACCGGGTTCAAACCGTCATTTTTTATTATTTTTAATTAGAAATAATTTAAAATATGAAAAAAATTCATAAATTTATTTCTGAATAATTAAAAATAATTTGAAATCATAGAACCGATGGTTTGAACCAATCGGAGCTCACGGTTCTGGTTTCCCAAATCTAGGAACCGGAATCGAATTACCCAGGGCCAGTTTCGGTTTGGTTTGGAACCAGCAAACCGTCGGGTTGGTTCGGTTTTGGTTTTGTTTGAATGTTTTTAATATCCTTTTAAATATTTTTCTCTTGCGATATTAAATAAATATAATTTATCCTTGTAATTGATTGTTCTCCGTGTTCTCTTTTCTTTGGTGTGGTAACCTGTCCAGTTCTCCTAATCTAGATACGTTAACCAACATTATCCAGTGAAACAAGCAGCAAGCATCGTGGAAGCTTTCATTTGTTCAGATAATTGATTACTGCTATGAATATTTGTGACTTTATACCTATCACCTTTATTAGCCATTATCTTTTTAGACTAATCCACCTGGTTATTCTTCATATTGCCCTAGTTTTTGTATTTCAGCCGAGCTTTACACTTGTTGGGTTTAACTTTATATTGCATGTCACCATTGTGGGTCACGTGTCACTAGTCATAATATAAACGGTAGAAATCCATGTTCATATAAGACCTAACAATTTTACTCTGGCCATCAGCTATGTAGCACAGGCCTTCTTTTGTACCATGCATGGGAACACATATGAAAAACATTAAAAATATGGTAGCTTGACTGATGGTGTTTATTGTTCCTTTATTTCTTTATACATCCCTCATAATATGTCCAATGTCGAATATTTTGTTGACTATGTTTTTGTTTTCTCAAGCCAATATATTTGTGCATAGACATGTACTTGGAACTTCCAGATACAACCACAATCGGCTTCTCTAAGCAAATTACTTCGACTCAGCTATGGCATGTATTTTGTTTATCTACCTGTTGTTTTCACCTAACTTGCATTTTTGTATAACTCAAAACTTTGGCCATAGACATTACTGAAACTAATTAAAGTATGCTCACGGCCTCGCCATGGCCTGACACGAGCATATTTGGCTCAATCCTAGATGCCAAAAATATAAGGATACCATGATTAGTTTATCAATCTTGGTTTTTTGTGTCTCTAGGCTACCTGTATTTACATTGATAGCTTCAACCTGGTACCTTTTTATCCTTTGAAAATGTTTTTTGGTGTTCATTCATGTACAACCAATTTCACTAATCCAATACCTAAAATTAGATGGTTTCAATTGATTTCATTGATCTTCATGGTTTATGCCTGCCTGATTGCACTAATAGGCTGTCTGCCCCTGTTTAGACCATCTCTTCTGTAAATCAGGTAAATTGTGCTTCTCTTATACTATTCTATATCTTATGACATAGAACTACATTCTGTGTGCTAGGCATGGGTATGCAAGATGGCAGTATATTATAGAAGATGAAGAAGCAGGGATTATTGATATTGTTCGTAGGGAGTTAAACCTTCCTACCAGATCATTTTCAGGAAGTGTGCAAACAAATGAGAGTGCCAATTCAGCACAACCTGCAAATACTGCTCACAATGCCAATGTTCGTAAATTTATACATTTAAAAGTTGAAGAAAAAAGTTGTACTGGAAATTTTTATATTTTGTTCACTACTCTTCTATAGGGAAGCACAGAAGCTGCAAAAGCAGGATACAACTCATATCAGTCAAGAGAATTACAGAGAAGGCTGGTTGAGTCTATAAGGAAAAGATATTTTCTTTTGGAGAAAGCCCTGGAATTGGAATGCTATAAGGTATCATTTCAATTTATTCAACTATGAGATTAAGCTAATTTGTGTTTGCTTTAACATATTAATTTGCAATGTTCTTGTTCCTGTGGATATACTTTTGTAGTTTGCTGATGCTCCACTTTTTTCTGCCAGATTGTTTTCCTTTCTTTCTCAATTTATTGAAAATTTTGTTTGTGATTTCTTAGTGTATGATGAAGTTAATGCCACCTTACTTGTACTTAGATATTGGTGCATCAGATTGAAAAGTGCACAAACCTATAGTCATTCTACTCCCTAAGACCCTCCCCCCTAATTCATGTCTCCTCTCTGATTATTCTGTGTATGCCATGGATGTATATTCTTGCAAATTCTATCACTTGTAGAATCACAGATGTCCCTCTCTATTCTATTTGCGGCTTGTTAAATTTTATTTTTTGGCTAGACTTCTTTAATAGACTGTAAATCAAACCTTTTACTAGTAACAGTTACACGATATCAATGCTTTAATGGTTCAAAATAGAATTTTGCATTCCACAAGAATGTGCAGATGACCAATTAGATCAATGTTTTGAGCAAGGATTTGCAAATCTGCAGTCAGATTCATGTAGCTTTGATGGTAATGGCTGACATAAGATACTGCTAGAATGTCCAAATGAATTGGAGAAGACTTAAATTTTTGGAAATGGTTACATAGTGCATCCTATAGAAGTTTATTGGGCATCCAAGCAGTTATTGTACTGTATTAGTTTCTTGACCGCATTATGCAACTTAAATCTTAAGCTAATATGTTTTATTTGATATCATATATGCTTGGCTGGTTCTCAAGTAAGTTACTATCTTTGGTTTGGATCTCGAGTTCATTTGCAAATGATCTGGACCAGAACTGTGTAATTTATGCCTTTCTGAGTTCATACAAGTCTGGCTTACTCAATGTTAGTTGTTTAGTTTGAGTTCTTTCTGTAGTTCTTTACTTGGATGTTACACCAATTTCTCTATATTACAGTTGGAGATTGTACCATCACATCATTAATCTCTAGAAAAGTGGAAAAAGTTCAATTGCACCTTTTTTCTCCTTGACATCTTACTCTAGCAGTTGACTAATATGCACAACCAGGACAAACTCTTCTGAGTTATAATCCTAAAGGAGCATATGCATACATCATGTATAATTTTTTTTTGCTTGATGCTGAGTAAGTCTGCATAGTTTCTAGGTGCTACTATATTTACTTCTGATAGTCATTTGTGTTGTATCCTTTTGCAATTAGAAAAAATATGCAAGTGAGCAGGCAACTCAAGATCCACAAGTTGATCCAAAGGTTTCAGAAGTGAATAATTCAGAGCTATTGGATGTTGATGAATTGTTGCGACAAATGCCTCAGTTGGAGCATATATGTAAGTATATTATTGATTCTCTCTGTTTTCTGAAACTGCTTTTACTTAGCTTTCCTCATATAGTTGGGAGTTTTGTTGCTTGTATTGTTGTTCTTTTTTTTGTTTTATTTAATTAATTAATTGTTTGTTTTCATTTGCTTGTTTACATCTAAACAAAAAAATACTTAGAGGAGAGTAGACCTGCAAGCAAGATCTCATGGCCGATCATTTGTGATTTGGAACATAAAAATCAATGTTCTAAGAGACCTAACATGTTATAGGAAAAAGAATGTGAAAACAAGATGTACACAGTCACTACCTTTTCTAATAAAGTTACTTAGGCCCACTAACACTACTACATATTCATCACAATATGGTATTTTATAAAAACAAATTAGTCCCTAAATATACATGTACGTTAATATGTGTGATTCATATTTCATAAGATGCAATTTTGTGTTCGGGATGTATTTTCCTTCAACTAAGTGATTTGAAGAAGTCATTACATCTTTACATAGTTGTATACTGTCACATCCTTAGCTAGGATTTGCCTAAGGCATGCGACACCCAAACGATACTCATCCACAAAGGATGACCCTAATCTCGTGCAGTCCATAAAGGACCTACACAACAAAGAAAAGGTCAGAAAGATGAATGTGTGGGTAATTTGACTTTGTCGCAGACGAAAAGGGTCTAGAAAATGCGTTGAACAAGCGAACAACCAAAGCCCTTTCTATGAGGATGCAAGGTGGTATGACTATTCGAACTCAGTGAAGAAGTTGAAGTTCCAATCGACCATCCACATTAGGCATCATTTCTTGAGTTGTAGAATCTTCGGGGCCTCTCAAACAAGCTTTTGGACAATGGAATGCTCCAGTGCATTCGAGGGGTGACATCGAGCGAGCGATTGTCAATGCCAAGCAAATAGCTAAAGAATCAGCTTTGGTAGGGACCCTACAACAAGTGGCTGGTGGTGACCACACTGAAAAGTTGCAGTTTGATTAGTCAAAGATCAGAAGGGGCTTCTTAAGTCACAAGATGTACGGAACCAATTGATCAATAGAGGCAAGGTATTAGGATGTCCTCGAGTCTAGGAGTGACTTAGTTACCAAGAAGAACTTGGTCGAGAAAGCGTCAGACTAAAGGCCATGAATATCAGAGGATGGGGCATGGTACCATAGTGGTGTGTCTTCTGAGCCAAACTTGTTCTCTAGAGGTGAGTCACAATTCCAATCGTAAATGGGGCATGAATGATCCGAAAGGCGTAGCCAAAGCTATTAGATAAGCGCTCTACAAGGACGAAACACAGCTCAGGTTCGAGCAACACTTCCAGTACTCTAGAAGTGCTATGACAAAGAGTGGGCAAAATCAAGTTACCAACTCGGAGCAAGGAGTACAACTCAAGTTTGATTAGTCAAAGATCAGAAGGGGCTTCTTAAGTCACAAGATGTGTGGAACCAATTGATCAATAGAGGCAAGGTATTAGGATGTCCTCGAGTCTAGGAGCGACTTAGTTACCAAGAAGAACTTGGTCGAGAAAGCATCAGACTAAAGGCCATGAATATCAAAGGATGGGGCATGGTACCATAGTGGTGTGTCTTCTTAGCCAAACTTGTTCTCTAGAGGGGAGGCACAATTCCAATCGTAAATGAGGCATGGATGATCCGAAAGGCATAGCCAAAGCTATTAGATAAGCTCTCTACAAGGACGAAACACAGCTCAGGTTCGAGCAACACTTTTAGTACTCTAGAAGTGCTATGACAAAGAGTGGGCAAAATCAAGTTACCAACTCGGAGCAAGGAGTACAACTCAGGAATTTGGGTGAATCCAATCAGAGTGACCCAATTTTCACCTATGCTGTGGGGCTCTGCATCAATTGGAAGTTCCTTTAAAGTGCTCATAACTTAGCAACCATGGACTCCCCACCTTTAGGTGATCGGCTATGTCGAAGGTAGTATGTCCGCATACTATCCCCTCATCGAGTTGCCTTAAAAATGGCAGATATCACGGACCTACTCGGAGGAGACGCTGAAGGATCTGGTAATGCGAGTAAACTTCTTCGGAGAAGGCCATAGACTTCAAGATTTGTGATATGGCATTGGTGAAGTTCCAACCAGCAACAATCAAGCTCTTGCAGGGTGACACCTCAAAGGGGCTTGAACCCAAGTATGACAGTTCCTCTTACCAGCTAACATATCTGAAGGATTCAGCGAGAAGTCTTCCAACTCAGCCAACTTCCCCGACTGAACTAGCTTAGTAGCGAGTTGCAGCAAAGTGGGCAGATTGAAGTTGATGACTCAACTATAGAAGCTAAGAAGCACATTGCAGATAAGGATGATCAAATTTGCAGCGTACAATAAGGCTTCAACGAGGGCGTCGAAGAAATAAGTGGGGGAGAATGGAACAATGCAGTCAAGGTGTTCAACGCATGTTCATAACGTTTTTCAGTTCTTGTTTCCTATTGTTTTTCGAGTGTTTTTTTGTAGGCAGATTGTATGGGGCAGAAATTACTTTTGTCAATCCTATTTTGCTTTGTCAGAAGTTTTTTTTTCTTCTGTTTTTGTCTTGTAAAACTCGGAAATGTTTTTGGTTGTGTGGCATCATGCGGAAGGGAAAATAGCTAAAACAGCCCCATTCTCATGTGCCATGGACTGATTTCTGGCTGACGGCCTTGCGGTGTGAAATGTAAGGTGTCTCAACACCCTGGAACCCTGGGTGGCACTGAGTTGGATGAGGCCTTGGCTATATGTCTGAGGTGTGGTGCAACGCCTTTAGTGTGTCTGCTTTTTCGTTCGACATAAGTGCTAGATGAACATTGGTCCACCGTCCACCTGCCTTCGAAATTCCCTTTGTTTATGGCTGTTCAGCTCATTTTCAAGAGCCTTTTGTGCCTAATAAAAGTTGTGATTGTGGTTATCTTGCCCTTTTCGTGCAATGGCGCCATATTACCCACACATTCGTTCTTTTAACCTTTTCTTCTCTGTGCAGGTCCCTTGTGGACCGCACGAGGTTAAGGTATAGGCTGACCCTTGTGGAGGCTTGGGTGTCGCAAGCCTTAGCAATCCCAGCTAAGTACATGACAACATGTTACTTGTGCTTTCTCACAATGAAATGGTTAGCAGCATGAGGGCATGCCGCCATGATTTTAAGGTGCATTCAACCTTGCTTTTTACCTGGTTACCTGTCACGAGTCTTGACAAAAGATCAAATGGATATTTGGAAGTCTCGAGGGGCCTTTTCTCACAACTTAGCTACTCTATATGTTTACTTGTTGTTTTTGCTTTGCAATACATGAATGATGGACTATATTGTGTATTGCAGGTCCAGAAGAACTTGCCTGTGACAACAAAGATGGGCGTACCGAATTGGGGCGCCTCTATAATGAAGTAAAATAATGTGAAATTATTAAGATTTTGCCAATGTATATTTCTTCTTCCAACTTATATTGTTCCTTTTTTTCTGACAGATGTGCATGGTAGTAGAAGAAAATGCTGTTGACACAATGCAGGCGCATTTGGATGATGCATCAGCTATCTCTAGGTTAAAGAAGAGACTCCATCAGCTAGAAATCATCCACGAGGATGTACATCAAATTCTTGCAGAGCGAGGTCAACCTTCAGCTACTGAAGGATCAAATGTAAATGCAGCGGATACCAAATGTTACATAAATAGGGAGTCGTCAGAAGCGGTTCTCACATCGCAACAGGAGCCAGAGTGCAAGATTGCTTCATCAAACGAGAAAACGGCATTGGAACGTCCGGAACAAGCAAAGATAAATCACCTGAAAGGGTGATTGTCGTCGATGATTAACAGAACTTAGTTCAATTAATTGCACAGCCGAAGGTTAATTAAAAGCTTCATGGTGATACATCCTTTTGATCGTTATTGTTCCTAGTGCCTGGATAGGCTTTCCTGCCTTGGGAGTATTTTTAAGACAGCAACTTTGTTCACTTGGTAATGGTAGACATGGATGGCGAGGAGATATTTGGTATCGTCCAAATATACCATGAACTTTGTGAGGTGTCTTGTGCGATGCAGTCAGTTGTAACATCCCTTTATAGGCCAAGAATCCCATTTTTCAATCCCATGCTATGGTAATCGACTTTTAGTTCCCCGCTCTTTGATGCGGTCATGTATTCCAAGTATGTGCAATTTCCCCTTTACCATGATCTCCGATGCATGAAACCTACCTACCGAATGAGGTTGGTCTGACCTTTTATTGCAAGGATCAATGCTTTTCAGCAATGCACTGCTGCTTTTATCTGCTATCAAGGATTGGCGTTTTTTTGTGCATATTAATCTTGTAACTCTTTGATTGTTGTTTTTAACAGAAATCCATGTAGTTCTCTCTGGCTGTGCATTGTCTTTTTTATTTTTCTATAATAAATATTTTCGGTGGAACCCGTTAGCATATGACACTAAACTATTTACCCTTTAAGGTTCAAGAAAAATCAGCATACAAGGAATTGGTAGGGATAGTCAACACGTCTGAAACGCTTAAAATATTGCAACGGGATACGATAGCTTTGCATTTTGTCAGAGTACGTAAAACTCTGCTAAAAGTCGAAATGTCTTATCACATGTTGTGATCAATTACGTAAAGCTATCACCGAAACGAAAACAATTCCGATCTAGCAAATGTGACTTGGCGGGGATTAAAATACAGAAAAGTGTTAAGAGTCAGGTATCATAGTTTAAAAAAAAAATTAAAGCTAGATTGTTGTGTTCCATCCTAATTTTTGTAAAATCAAAATGTGCACACGCATATCTTTTTGGTAATTATGACAGATTAATGATAATAATAATAATAATAATAATAATAATAATAATAATATACAATCTACGTGCAGAGTAATGTTGTCTTCAAGAAAAATTTTAATCCTAAGGTCTGTTGCCGTCTATGCTGTTTGGCCCAATAATCATACATTCCCATCTAAATGAGTCAGCAACCAAGAAAAAAAGTTTCATACTCGATCTGAAGAACAAAGGCAACATCTGCTCTCCTTGCTAAAACTAACCAGTCATCTGCGTGCGTATCTCGCAGGAGCTATTTAAGGAGGCCCTGAGGTTCAAAAAAAAGAAGCGGCTCAATCCATGTGAATATATATACCCAAAGCACAGGTGGGAAACATGCAAAACATATAATTAATATATAGGACTTCTAAGATTTATTATTTCCAATGTTTAGGGGCATTAGACAGTGCTGTAAGCGTCACAAGTTCGAACACACTGGACCAGACTCATGATGATGGAAATGGTGCATGAACAGTACCGTGAAGCTTCATGAGAGAGCGAGGAGAATGTGCAGGTTATCAGGTCTTATTTACAGAATTATGGTTCGGATGTTTTGCTTAAACAGATCCAAATGTGTTCTCCCCGCTGTAAGTCATGTAGAGAAAACCATCCTCATCCTTGTTCTCCTCGTAGATTGCAGACATCATAGCAGCTGCAAGACAAATATCGTCAGACTACATATAATGGAACAGCAACTAATTCAACAATGTAGCTGACCTGTGGGTGGCAGAGAATTCTTCACAAAGATGAAGATGGCCTTCTCGGCACTGAGCTTAATCCTCTTGCGGACCACATAAACAAATTGTCCTACTGTCAGATCAGCAGGAACCAGGTACCTGCATCCAGTTTTTTTTTTACCAGAGTTGAAATGACAATATCATAGCACAACCTGAACAGCATCATACCACTAGGTGGACAAGGCACTTCAATGTATGCTATTGTTTGATGGTGATAGACCAAATATGACCAAGATTCAAGCATTATTACGTTGTTGTCGAGAAACACATCCACTTGGAACAAGAGGTACACCTATGAAGACCTCTAAAACTACTGGAGTGATCATCAAGCAAAAGCCCAACTGAAGTTTTCTGCTTTAAAATATACGATGAAAGAATTACTCCATTTTATAGATGTAAAGCTAAATCCTAGTTTCTGTCACTATCACTATAATCCTACTTTATCTATGAATTACTTCTAGACTTCACAAGTATAGACTAAATAATTGAGGAAAAATTATTAAAAACTTGTAAACATAATTATTTAAGAAGGTAAAATACATTTTTGTCAATGAAAAGTGACCAGAGAAATTTAACCATTCAACCACTGTTTTATGTTTAAGCAAATATTATACAAAGATGACAAGCCAGCGGACAAGGGCTTTGGATTTAATCCCTCAACAATGAATGAACTGATGAGAGGTTTCAGACCTTTAATAGCCTAAATCATATTTGAAGATAGCTGAATAAAAGACCCACCTGTGGTTTAGTCTCTTCACTTTCTAATGGTGGTGCTAATCATAACAATTAGTCCACCTTAAGTTCATGTCATCATGTTAAATATAGGTGCATTATCCATGTAATACTAAAAAACAAATTCATAATGAAATACACTTGACACAGATTTCAAACCACATGGAGAGGTCAACAAGATAAAAAGTAAAGAGAAAATTCTGAACAACTAAAAGAAACAAATTAGATGTAGGCTCCTACAACGCACTAATGCAATGTCTATATGTTGCAGATGTGGCAAAAGAAATTACATGAATAGGAAATAATAGAAAGACGTGCTCTTGTTCCACAAGCACGATGCAAGGGGAAGATAATAATCCACGTGTTAATGATTAATGAAAAATAATAAAAGTATAGTCCAAATAACAATCATTTAATGCAACATTATGCATTATTCATATTGATAAAACATATCTTAGTCATAGATAACACATAGCTCAACAAATAAAAATAACATTTTAAGAAAAAAAACTAACTTCTTCTTGTCAATATCTGGAATGTCACTTCTTTCAGCCTTCTCCACAATTACCTGCGTCAGATGAAAAATTAGACAAAATATAACAGAGACCTACTACTTCATGTATAATCAACCAGTTACTTACAGGAATCCTATCAGGATACTTCTCCCTGATACGAGCAGCCTCTGCTTGCCTCCTTTCTGTAGTGCAGAACAAATGCTTCAGCGGATAATGAATTGAAGAATAATTGAAAGCTATCACAATCAAATTTAAAGCATTACACCAAAAGCATATTTGCTGTTAAAAAATACGTGTGGTTTAATAGAAAGAAATAGTTAGTTAAACTCATATCAAAATGCATTTCCTAAACTCTTTTAAATGCAAATGCATGCCACACCATTTTAAAATTATGCTTGTACAACAGTTACGACATCAAACAAGCCTAATCATGTGAAGCATGTAGCGTTAATGTCTTCTCATGCCTTCCAAGTTACCAAAAGTAAGAATCTAAATAATATTTGCCATTGAAAAAATTGAATCAAAGAGTCAGAAGATCATCATGAGAAACTAATTAGTACATTCCAACAAAAAAAGGAAAATACAGAGGTCAATATTATAGGTGGGGTACTGACTGAAACCACTAAAACCCTGTAGAAGCAAAAAAAAAGCAGACTCAATAATATTCAAACATTTTTCCAAAATCAGAAGCTTGTTAAAATATTCAATGAATAAACTAAACATTACATTCAAGAGGTCAATTTTCTTACAGACAGGATCACAAGTTTCCATTTCAAACAATATCACAATCGAACAAGTATCCCTATAAATGATTATATCTTGCACAATAAATGTTAACACATTAACCAATCAACATGATTGATGAACAATGTTATTTGTGATCATGAATGGCAACACTAAATTGGAAGCTTCTGAAAGAAAAAGAATGCTGGACTAATTGAATAAAAGGCAATAATTCTTATATCATTAACATAAGAAAGCATAGCAACAAATTCATTGCTCAATAACCTCAACCTCAAAAGAGAGAAAATATTTGTCACTATGCGTTACCTAGAGTGGAATTTAATTAGGCTGTTAAGTATTAATATTAAAACACAAATCAACTACATTTCCCCTACATCCTAAAGCAGGCAGCCAGCAACACGATGAAACCCACATAATAAACTTGTGCAATTCATTTCTCGTAATACATTTGTTTTATAATGAATATTTGTATAAAACATATAAGAAAAAGGACAAACTTAATTTGTGACAGCAAATTTCAAAGTCATATAGTAACTAAGATGATTAGCTACATGGAAACAAAAATAAACATATCAGGATCCTCTAAATATCTCCGATATTATCATCTAGCATTGCAATTCATTCTCCACAAAAGTAAATACCAATCTCTGTTCACCATGGACTACCGCAGCCTAGAATATGTCAAGAACAGGATCAAAGGACACCGAAAGAAAAGAACAACCACCCAGAAATACCAAACCCTTTCTTATGAAACAAGAAAGGGTGGAAGAAACGCTACAACAACAACGAGTCCAACTCGGCCGCACAAACCCTAATCTAAGCACCAAATTTACTTGTATTGTAGCAGGAAAGGAAGAGGAAGGAAGGGGGTACACGAACCGAGGGGATGCTCCAACTTGAAGGAACTCTTCGCCATGGATCCCTCTTGGTCCTGCGATTCAAGACACAAACCGGCATTGCTGTGTCACAGATCATAAACAATGAAGAGGAAGACGAAAAAGGAAACGATCGAAAGCTCATCGATCAAGATCAAGATCAAGAACAAGAATCACACACGATCGCTCAAAGAACAAGAGGAGGATCTTTCGGATCAATCGATCGGTCGATCGGTGGATGGAAGGAGGTACCGCGCGGGGGATCCGGGGGAAAGGGGGACAAGACGATCGGACCGGGCGGTGGGTAGACGATCGCAAGCAGTCGCAAGAAACGGCAGGGGGGTATCATCTTATCGTGCTGGGAAACCCATCCAAACGACAACTCGTACCCGCTTAGAGCCAGCCCTGTATTATACCCGCATTAATTGATTTCCATTTGTCCCACTCGTGGTGGGTCCCACATAAAATGGAAAGAAGATGCGTTTGGGGTAAGAGATTGTAGAAGACGGCATTTGCACGGAAAGCCGTTTCGTCCTCCTATGGAAGTCGTTCCCTCGAAGGATCCAAATACCTCTTCCCAAAAAATTAAAGACGGGGAAAGCTCGTACTTCCTCCACCCACAGACGTATACCCACGGCGGGGTCCACAGAAACCTCTGGGAGCTCCAGTGGAGAACCGGGTAAAGCCGTAGGCAGGTGACTGATAAGGTTTTTCTTTTATTTTCCTATACAAAGCGCTAAATGATAGGACGTAGCGGCTGCCAGCTCGAAACTACCTTCCTTGTCAATGGAGGGAATTGTGGCTCCCAGGTGGGCACCGCTCTCTTGCCCAATAAAGCACAAGTTAGGAAGAGGGGTAAGAACCAACAGAAAAGGAAATATAACAGTTAGATCAATTGATGATGTTGTTTACTCATAATTCAAATCATTAATTTGCTTACAAAAGTAACCTTGAGATGTGATAAATCTTACCCTTATAAATTATAACATGGGAAATGGATGCTAAATAAATGTTGGCATACACTACTCCTCCAATTAATGAAATAATAGGTTTGCTGACCAAAATTTTGAACAATAATGCTAATCTTTTACACGAAGGTAGTAAGTGATTAAATGATAAACGTTATGGTAGCTTATTTTGTAAATATTTTTTCCTAAAATTAAATCCTACCTATTATAAAATATAATATTTAACACGTATCTATAATTTATATGAATTATGTTACATAATAAATAATTATGTTACATAATAATTATTATTATTATGAATTATGTTACATAATAAATAATTTATATTTTTTTATACAAGAATCTTAGTTAAGATGTCTACTTATAAATTATGTAACATAATATGTCATGATAACTTGCTGTACTCTTAAAATAAAATATGAATCATAATGTAATTATCATACACTTATATGATTTTATCTAGTCGTTGAATCTCATATTTTGGATGATAAAATTAATTAATAAATTTGAGGAATTAACTCTACGATGAGTCTAAGTGATACGAGTGAAATTGAATCAAAGGATGCAGATAGTTAGAAGATCAAATATTGTGTCATACTATTTGAACTTGTGCTAAAATATCAAATATTACAAAGAATGATCAAATATCATATTGAAGGATTTGATAAATATAAGATAATGTATTGAAAGATCAGATAACATATCATAAAAATAGATAATATGGTAAAAGGATGACTTGTCGAAAATTATTGATTCTTTGGTTATATTAGTGGAGCTTTAGTTAAGTCATTATAGCCTAGTCAAACGATAGAACTATAATAGTACCACTTACATTTATTAGGCACGAAAAGATCATTTGGTGCATAAGCGATTGACTATTCCATTGAATGCCTATTTCTTTGCACCCATTTTTCCTCAGTAATTATGCATGTAAGCTGCTATCCAAGCAACTTCTGCTAGGTTCACTATGTTGCATGCATATGGTTCATTAATGTGTTTGTCCTACTATACTATTAATTGTCATAGACTTAATTAATTTTATATAAGTTATGTGATTCCCGTAAAATATCTATTCATAAAGGGTTAACCTATGTATAGTCCCATAGAGACTTGTAACTAAAAGATGAGTAGTGAAAACAAAAGTCAAAATCCTACAAAGAGACATTTACACACTACAAAATATATAGATATCTTCACTAAGCTCTAAATGATTATGAATGATCATATAACAAATAGAATATAATTCATTATATATTAAGTCATCCCACATAAGTGCTCATGTGATACTAATAACAAGATGGATCGTTAACCTATCCTTGAATATCTAATTGAAGTCTTATCTGATTGATCGTCAGTGGAAAATCAACTAGTGACATATAGTAGGGACTATTTCTATAATTTTCTCTTATGCATGACATCACTCTTACGTGCCCCTTACAAAAACAAAAATATTACCAACAACAAAATGAGACTTTAGTACTACAAATACCAATAAATAATAAAAAAGAAGACCAACAAAGGGTTATAATCATATATCTAACACTTTGACTATATTATTCATACGTGAGTCCAAATTTTGTCATGCCCTCGATAAAAATTATCAGTGGTTAACCAATTTAATTAGCTTATATTAATAGTAATAAGTCGATCAAATCCTTATAAATCAAATATTTCATCCTTATTAATCTTCCATGATTGACATAAAAAGGTGAGTAAATAAATAATATATCATTTGAGTCTTAACATTAATTGTTAAAAGATTTAGCCTCACGATAAGATGCAAGCGTCGTTCGAGCCAATATAAATATATCCCTTATAAGTAAAGTCACCTAAATTTGGTTTTAAATGAGTTATAATTTTGGAAGAAAAACTCCTCATAATTGAAAATAAGTGTTTACATATATAGTTTAGTATGTCTTACCTAGCCAAAGTTACTACCATTTTGATCATTTTAAATTATTTTCTATATGATCATCAATAAACCTAATTCATTGTTAAAGCAAGATTTGTTTATTGGGCTTGAATTACGAAAGAAATGAACCTACATTAATCAAACCTAGCCGTTGACGTCCGATGATTAGCCCAACCCAATCCCATTCCATTAATAGGTGTCACACGTTTGTCGTTACCAGCTCGGCTACCCGCGTTGTTGACCACAATCCAACTTCTCTCCACTGATTGTATTTTTTTTATTTTCGGGTGGGGTTCAGAGAAATCCAATTAGAAGGCAGGTATTTATGCGGGTAAACGAGAATTAACTTGCCGTCGCCCTTATATCACCTAATCAAACCAACTTATTCTCATTCCGTTTAGATGCGCGACTCGTTTTCTTCTTACCCTTTTGATCTGCCCGACTTGTCATCGACACTATAATTGCTTTATTGTGGGTCCCATGTGGGCCATTATTCCATCCAACTAGAAACCAGGTGCAACTACGGGGGAGACAGCATAATTATCCTAATAGTTAAACTAACATAATATAATCTCATCGAGAGATGCCACTCGTCTCCTTTGTTACCTTCTGATCTGCCCGCCTTGGCGTCCACACATCGAACGCTCCGTCGATGGGTCCCGCAAGCGGTCTCACTTAGACCCAATACTAAGTAGGTGTCCGTACGGGTAAAAAAACAAAATAATAAAATTATTCGAATCTAAATCCGCTATTCGGAGTCGCAATGCCGCAAGGAGTTGGAGGGAAAGTAGAAACGGAGAGGAATAATAATAATTTGTTTTTTTTTATTGTTTTTATTATTTTGTCATATTTCATTTACGTGAGCTGGAAAAATAAAAGAAAAAGGGGAAAAATGCTTGTTTAAAACGATCCCAAAACAGCCAAACTCCCCTCGCGACCCCCATCGCCTCCCTCCCTTCCTTGTTCGTCTCGGGTTCGATCACGCATCCCCAACCCTAATCGATCGCCCTCGGATCCGCTCGCCGCCCCCTCGATTCCCACCGCCACCAGCTCCAATTCTCCAAAGTCTGCATCGCTGGTACGAGGTGTGCCGCATTCGCTTCCTTGATCCATTGTTTCCCTTTTGTTTGCGATCATTTGTTCTGTTTCTGGTACTTTGTTTCTGATCCGAACCGCGTTGGTTTTGTTGCTAGATCCTGCGTGATGGATGGTCACTCGGGATCTTTTGTTCGTCGCGTGGATTTCCTGGCGCGATTGGTTTGGGTTCTTGCGCTGGATTGGGAGTGACTTCTATTGGTGCAGCGCCTAGGGTTTCGTTCTGATGTCTTCCGTGGAGAAGAAGAGGGGCGTTCCGATGAAGGGGGAAGTAGACGGGGTGTCTGCGTCGAAGGAGGTCCGTGAATCAAAAAAGGAGAAGAGGAGGCGGCTGATTTTGAGTGATACGGATTCGGACGATTGCTTGGTTTCTCTTCAGGAGGTAGATTGCGAGACGGCCCAGAATGGAGACAGCTTGAGCATCGGCGAGGACAATGGCGTGGAAGGGATGAAGGAGAAGGAGAACGAGAAGGAGAAGGTTGAGGTGGAGAGGAAGAAAAAGAAGGTTTTGAGGTTAGATGTCGTGAAGCCAAGTGAAGAGTTCGTAGTTGCTGACAAGAACGAAGTTATTGAGCCGGTCTTGGAGAGAAAGAGAAGTAGGGAGCCTGCTGATGTGGAGGGCTCTGCAAAAAGACCAAAAAGGGATTTTTCGGAGCTAGGACGAATTCTAAAAACTGCAAATGGTGGAAATAAATCAAAAACCTATTCTTCACATGGTGATGACAAAAAGGAGATGAAGGTGGACGTTGATATCAAACCCCTAGTCCCCGCAAGTAGAGAGAGGTATGGAGTGGAGAATCACATACAGTCAAACTCACACAGTATTCACAAGAAGGAAGATGAAAAAGTCAAGTCCATAGAATCTTCAGGTGATCAAGCACTTCAGATGAAAGATGGTAGCAGCAGTTTTGCTTCCAAAAAAAGAGCAGATACTAGCATTTCTCTGTGTAAAGACGGTGTTCTGAGGGTGCAGGGGAAAGGTGGTGTCTTGAGGGTCTTACCAAGTAATAAAAAGGTAGATGGGTTTGGCAATCTCCATTCTAAGAGCAAAGTCGAGGGAAAATCAAACACTTTCATCTCTCCCAGGATTGCTACTCGTAGTACATTGAAGAAATCATCCCTTTCTCCGGATAGAAGAGTTCATGAAAAATCAAGGTCAGGAGCTACTTTGAATAAACATGAATCGAAAAAGGCAAAAGTTGATATTGCTGAGGAAAGCACATATAAAAAACCAAAAACTGATTCTCCAAAAAGAGAAAAAAAGAGATCAGATATGCCAAGGGGAAGGGCTGGTTTCAAAATAAAGGGTGGCACCAGTATGAAAACTGCTTTTATGGCAAAACAAGAATTAAGTAAAGCAAGTGTAACTCGCAACACTGAGAAACAGAAACTCAGAGATCAGATAAAAGCCATACTTCTTAATGCTGGTTGGACAATAGATCTGAGGCCAAGGAAAGGCAGAAACTATGAAGATTCTGTTTACATACCTCCTGAAGGACAAGGTGGTTATTGGTCAATTACAAAGGCTTATGCCGTGTACCAGGAACAACTAAACAGATCATGTAATGAGCGCCGTAAGAATTCTTCTGAAAGGTCCTCCAGGACATCTGCTGGGAATGACTATGTTGTACCAATGGAGTCCCTAAATATACTGAAGAGAGTTGTCAACAAGAGAAGGAACCAAGAGCTTGAAGAAACTCAGAGGAGCAAAAAGAAGGAAAAGAAAACTTCTGACCTTAGGCATCCTGGAGATCAGGATGCTCAGGATAAGCTTGATGAAATTAGAGGCAGAAAGAAGTCAAACTGTGCCTTAGCATCAAACACTAAAACTGCTGTTGGTTCCATAGCACATAAGCATTTTCGAAAAGGAAGAAACAAACAGAGAGGATGTGCTTTATTGGTTCGTGGTAGTAACCAGGAGGCAGAAGATGAAGAAAATGATTACGTTCCATATGTTTGGACAAGAACAGTTCTCTCATGGATGATAGATATGGGTGTCCTGCATATTAATGGAAAAGTTAAATACATGAACCAGAGAAGAACAAAGACAAAATTAGAAGGCTGGATAACGAGAGATGGCATTTATTGTAGTTGTTGTAGTAAAATTCTTACTGTTTCAAAGTTCGAACTTCATGCTGGAAGCAAACTTCTCCAGCCATTGCAAAACATATATCTGGAGGATGGAGGACTTTCCCTATTGCAGTGTCAACTAGATGCATGGAAAAAACAGGATGAGTCTGAACGCCAAGGATTCTACATTGTTGATGTAAGTGGTGATGACCCTAATGATGATACTTGTGGTATCTGTGGTGATGGTGGTGACTTGATCTGTTGTGATGGTTGTCCTTCAACATTCCATCTGAGTTGCTTGGGCATTGAGGTATGCAAAATCAATAGCCTTAGTTTTCTGGAACTTCTAGTCATCTGTCTTTGTTTTGGAAAACTAAAAGGTCATTGTTAGAGAATGTATGTCCGACTTTTTCTTTTCGTTAGTCATTTAATTATGCATCATTTTTCCAATTCCACTTGGTTAGCGGAGGCTATAGATGAACATATGGTGGTTGTTACATCTTTTTGTAAAACCATGAAAAGAGTATATTTTTGCAGCAAAATAGTGTTAAGTCATGCTAATGTGTTCCTATTCTTCATGCTTCTTTTGCTCTTTTGTTTCATTGTCAGCCCGGCCCTCTTCGTAATAGCTAGGTGTTTTGGTTTTTTTTTTTTGTTTGTCTGACTCAAGTTTCATATGGCTCATTTGTAGAAGCTTCCTCCTGGAGATTGGCACTGTACAAACTGCTGCTGCAGGTACTGTGGGAGAATTTCTGTTGACACTATTCCAGAGACTGATGAAACTGTTTCTTCATTACTCTCTTGCCACCATTGTGAGGCAAAATGTATGTATTTTTCAGTTATTCTTGAATACATACCTCATGTTTCAACCTTAATAAGGTCCAAAGGGTGATGAACTTTTTGTCTTCACATCTTGGTTTTGCAGATCACCAAGACTGTGTTCCTGAGACAGAATCTATTTCTGCAACTTCCAAGAGTCGACGCATTTCTTTTTGTTCCCAAAGTTGCAGTAAGGTACGACTGGTTGCTTTAAAAAGTTTTATTTTAAACATTTGTGTTATATAAGGTTTGATTACTCTAGATCTTTGTTCTAGGACTGGTTGCTTTGTATAAGGTTTCAATTTCTAGATCTTTGTTGATGTTGATATTAAGAACTCCGAGAAAGATAAGGAAAACCTCATCAAGAGTTCTGAACTTGTCAAAAGTCAAAGTTCTAAATTGTCGTTCACCTACAGATGACAATATGCTATGCCCTATTTCGTCATTCGTACAAGATTATTGCAAGCAATTTACTCTCACTTCTCTTGAAGCAAACAGATAATGAATCTTGTACATCATGATTATGAATTGGGACCACTTTTTGCTATAAAGAAGCATCATTGCTAAGGCTTTTACTCAAATTGCCCATCACATTGAATATACATTACTTTGGTGAATATTCCACTTAATTCTCTCTAATCTAATATTAAATACCAGGCTTGTATCTCTATTAGCCTTTATAATGAACCTATGCTACTTATTGTTGCTGCAGGTTTTCAAATGGTTACAGAAGATTCTCGGGACCAAGAATGAACTGGAAGCAGGATTCTCATGGAGTGTCATAAGGCGTTTTGATGAAGATGCCTTCGAATTCCCATTGATGTCACAGCTGAAGGTTGAATGCAACTCAAAGATTGCTGTTGCCCTTGCAGTTATGGACGAGTGTTTTCTTCCAATTGTTGACCAGAGAAGTGGCGTTAACCTGATTCATAATGTCATATATAACTGTGGGTAAGTGTCTACCATGTTTATTTATTGTAGACTTGAAGCCATCCATTCTCTAAAATTGACCTGGTATCTTTATTTTATTTTGCTTTTATAGATCAAATTTCAATCGGCTGAACTATAGGGGTTTCTACTCTTTTATTTTGGAGCGAGGTGATGAAATTATTTCTGTGGCATCTGTCAGGTACATATCTTTGTTGTCTGTTAACTTGAAGATGTCTATATAGGACTACTTAACTTTAGGACCCGTGATGTAATTGGATAGATTTTGTATTTCGGATTAGTACATTCGTTTATATAAGTGGGCTGTTGAAATAAGTTACATTTTCTTTGTTTCTGCATTTGTTATGAGAACTTGAAATCCTAGTTCCTAAATGAGAGTTATTTGTGGGATGACGGTGATTCATTCGCACTTGCAGGCTGATGTGAGTTGGTCTATTTTGTTCCAAGTGTCTTATGAATCAAATTCAGTCCATCTCATCCATAACTGTATGAAGGACATTTCATGTTTCAGTTGAAGGTCACAAGAAACCATGCTTAGTATTCACTTGGCACTATGTTGAAACACCTAACGCCACTTATATACTTATATTTTATGTCTGAATCTTTCTTTTCTCCCAATATCTTTTTCCCTTTCTCCTATCAACTCTTCCATTCTCAATCTTTCCCTTTCCCTTTCTTCTCGTTTCCTGATTACCTTATCAGTATTCTTCTCCATTCTCAATCTGATTACCTTTAGTTCCATTCTCAATTATTTGCTTCCATATCGTGAACACTGACTACTGTGAGTGCTGTCTTGGCTGGCCTTAGCTCTTACTATCGACCGTCTTGCTTCCCTTGTTGAGTGCCATTGCATATTTGGACATCCATCACCTCCATAGATGGCATCAATTAAGTACCAACTGTTGTTGGCCCATGAAATTAGGGTCGTGACTAATACTTCCTTCTTCCTCTTTTCTAAAAAAAGGATAAACCCATTGCATGAGACTCCCACCAATTTGGGGTCTGGTGGGTTAATGTAAGCAATCTTACCTCTGTAAGAGTCTCTTTTTGAAACTCTAACATTGATATCTTATGTCACAAAGGAGCAACATTACCGATCTACCAAGGCCACCCTCTATCCTTCTTTCTCTTTCCTCTAGAATTTCATTGCTAATATTTTTCTTCTTCCTATGGCCTAACTTGGTCTTGAGTCAATCAGTTTGATCCAACATTACCGATTTTGTGTCAAGTAACTTGTTTTGTCTGATAGTTTGTATCGGATTAGTTTTGCAGATTGGACCTTACTATTGGGGTTGACTAGAAAACAACTTGCTTCTGACCCACTGGACTGGTGTTAATGTTCTAGGTGATGCACCTTGTTATGTTCTACTAAGACCTACTGGACTAGAGTTCTTAAAATATGGTTAAGAAGTTTGATCTAAAACTTAAGTTTTCTTTAGTTACTTGAATCTTTTGTCAGGTTGTGATTTCCTTTTAGCATCTTAATCTGTTGGTCTAATTGTTTAAATTATTGTTTCTGAATGCCATAGTGATATGATTGTGTCAAACAGAATCCATGGAACCAGGCTAGCTGAAATGCCTTTCATTGGGACAAGAAACATGTATAGACGTCAAGGGATGTGCCGTCGGCTTCTTGATGGAATTGAATCAGTATGTTTCTTGATTTCTTTATTCTCTAGCATTATTTTTGTTAAAGTCAGAACATTATGATTAGCACACAGAACATCTTGATACGTCTTGTTCAATCATTTTTTTGAGACAGATTTTAAATACTTATACATTTGAACTATATTAAGCACCAATAGCTATTAGCACACAGTCTTCTGAGTTGTTTAGTTCTGATACTTATACACTTCAACTATATCAAATACCAATCATTATTTATAGTTTAAGCAAACGTAATATAAGGCATTCTGGGAAAAAAATTCAGATGGCAGAAATATCACCACTTCTATATCGTAGTTGATTGTACTTCAGGTTTATGTACTGTATTTTTGGAAAATTAATTCCACACACAAGATATTGTTGCTTTTATGTGGTTGATAAATGAAGTTCTTGGTGATGTGAAATCCATAGAAGTATAGAGACTCTCTTAGGCAAGGCTAAAAAAATGGATCAGATTGATATGTACCGTTTAACATTTACCAATTCAACCAGAAACCAGCACCAAACCATGCAATTTTGTGGTCAAAATGAGCTTGAAAACACCAGGGCATGTGGCTCAATTAGAAACTATTTTTTTTTTTTTAAATCTGGATATCTTTGATGGTTGTCACCAAAGATTGACAGACAAAAGCTCTCCTCTCTTATTCTGCTCCTCTCTTTCTTCACCTCCTTTCCTTTATCCTTATCTTCTTGCGCCAGAATGTATCATGTTTTGATAAGCCGGAGTATGTCACTACATGATCCATACCAGTCCACCCAGGAACCTCTATGGATTCAAACCAAAACTTGAAACCTTAATTGTCTTCTTTTATCCTTATGTTAGAACCTTTATGAGCCTAACCGTTTGGGATGTGCAGAGAACTGTTGCTGAAGAATTCTGAATCAAGAACCTATTCCATTTAGGAAGTGCACCTTTCATGTACCACGATTTCTCCTCTAGTTTGTCATAGCATCATATGAGGGTCCTTATGATACCAATTATTTTGAGTTGTCTGTATCATTAGACTTTCATTTTCATTAATTGGGATAAGTCAGTTGTTTGTCAATGTTTTTGACTATTTTTTAGTCTCAAGATTCTAAAGTTGTCTATGTTGGTTGGCAAAGTAATATTAGTTTTATCTTTCACCTAGATCAAAATTCTCATTCAAGTCATGTTCTTCTGTATTAAATTGACACACTAGATGTTTATGATCTGAGGTTGGCCACTTTAATTGCTTGTTCTTTTTTTTTATATGGTATACTTCATAATTCATCCCTCTGCATACAAGCAATGAACAATAATGCATTACACACAGGAGTACATTCAAAGAATGCGTCAAACAGTCTTTTTACTTGAAACTAAATTAGTTTTTGTTCATGTCATTTCTGTCCTTTCTAATTTACTGTTTCTTCGAAGTTTCCCTACTGCATAGGATCATTTTATGTTGCATTGTCAATTCAATGATTGCTTACAAGTTTTCATTTTTTCAGATTCTTAGCTATTAAGTATGTCTTATAGGCAAAGCAAGTGCATCAGCCAAATTTCTAAATTTCTTGTGCAGCCTGCAACTTTCTGAATGTCATATATACCCTTGTAAATCAGAAATATGGTCAGTTTCCATTGATTACTGTTGCTTTATATCTCAATGATTATGGAGAAAACATGAAACAACATTGTAAAAATACCATTGTTCAATTGAAAGCTAATGTACTCTCTTTATGCACCTAAGGGCAAAAGAGAGATTCAAGACAGGAGTGATTAATAGCAAGAAAAATGAGGGAAAAGAAATAAACATGATATATAATATGCTTTACAAGATTATGAATCAATTAAAAGTTTCTCTTGAATTGTCTGTACAACTGAATCTCTTTCCTATCAGGCTTGTGGCGATTGGGGTATATCAATGTGAGTAGCCTAATCTCTACAAGTAGAAAGACAGTTTCCGTAATTCAAACTTTATTCACCTAGGACACAAAGGAACAACTTTATCATGGTACTAAGTGATATCAAGGTCATTTTCAGTGGTAAACATAATTTTGCCAATGATTTATTTGAGGGATTTTTTTTTTGAAGAGGTTGCTGTCTATGTGTTTATAATTCATAATGCTTGCAGTACTCTGATTATATAAGTTATTTATTTCTCAACATTTTTAACTATTTATTTTTTACTTCTTTGGCAATAATTTGTTCTCATCTTCAGGCCCTCTTCTCTCTCAATGTCCAAAAGCTGGTTATACCTGCTATTTCTGAATTGAAGGACACTTGGACTAATGTCTTTGGCTTCAAGCCTCTTGAGGTTTCACAAGAACTAGAAGTTAGGTCCATAAATATGCTGGTTTTTCCTGGTACTGGTTTATTACAGAAGCCGCTGCTAATGATGCACTCTTCTGAACAATGTGCACCTATTGATGGAGGTGAGCCTGATGAATGCTATTGGTAATCTATAATTTTTTCTTTTCCTTTTTAAAATTTTTATTTGTGAATATGCAGTTGACATGGTTGAGTATGACATCAAACATCAGCACCAGACAAAGTCAACCTATGAATCTTCTGAGTCTTCATCTGTCGAGCCCAACCTCTATAATTCTGGTCAGGCTGTTGTCCACTGTGTAAATGCAACTCAAGATACTGGATCTGGCTTGTCGTCTTTTAAAGTTTCACCTGGTTCTTCTGATTCTCCTCGATCAGAATGTAAATCTCAAGAATATAAGTCTTTAGTGATGGGTGGTGATAGGGACACACACAATTTTCCTGAGAGTGGTTTGACAAATTCACATGATGAAGATAAATCTCAAATTGATTTTTCAACTAGAGAGCTAACTTTGTCTGATAATCATGGAGAGAAAAGTACAGAAGCTAATACTCTCACTGATCTGCAAGAAAGCAATGCTGTTTCTAAGCATGTGTCTCCAAAAGGTTTTGCCTCTGATATTCAAAAGTCAGGAGCTTCTTCACTTAACATGCTTCCCACTCAGTGTAACTCGTTGCAGCATAAATATGAGGATCATTGTACTCCGCCAGAATTTGTTACTGTCACACCAAAACCTGGTATTGAGATTATTGCAGAACTTCAAATATGCTCCTTGGAGTCTACATCAACTCCTCTTCATTATGAATCTCATGTGAGAACCAAAGCCCATTCTCCAAATTCAGCCAGGGGCAATGGTCAAATATCTCCTGAATCTACCCATGATGCAACAAATCATCATGAAAAATCTCTTTTGGATCATTTAGAACCGAGCATTCATGTTGATAGCAAAGAAATGATGTATAGCATTCATGCAGTAGAAGCTAAAGGCGCTGCTCTTGATCCTAATTCCTCTTTAAATGATGAGGACTCTGAACCTTTTGCTTTTGAGATTGTTAGTAGACCTATCAATGCTGCTGCTGGAAAAGAAAATAGTTCTTCTTACAAAAGTTGTGCAGTTACTGTTTCTGATAAAAGCACTAGGCTTTCCATACAACACAGTAGTTTAGACAGGGTTTCCATAACAAATGGTACTGTTTGTGAATCAAACTTATCTCATGTTGTTAAAAGTTGCAAAATACAAGGTGATATTGAGCACTCTGACATGACTTGTTCTCTGATGCTAGATCCAGGTATCAAAGGTATTCCACCTGTTTTAACAACCTCCTTTGAGGTTTCTGCCGAGCCTATTGATTATGGTTTATGTGCTGTTCATGATGCTTCTGTGGATATAAAAAAGTTTGACACTGGTTCTGAATCTTCTCAGTAGCTACTGATAAGCATTCTCTGGATTAGTTCCTACAGATTATCTGTTCACCTGGTGTTGCCATCTTTCCTGTTGGAAATAATTTGATGTGATACACAAGGTTGTTTTTGAGGCAAGATGCACAAGGTTATTAGTGGATGCTGCAGGCGGGAGAATGGATTTGTTAGTGAAGGCCTTTAAATCAAGTTGCTATGCTATAGAGATAAATATCCGATCAAAAGGAGTCTTGTCATCCGAACTTGGTGCGTTTGTGGTTTATTGAATTCACAAATTATATGGTGTTCTATAGCATAGTTTCCTCACTTTTGATCAACATTGTGTTCAGCCATATACTGCTAACTCTTTTGACATGCACATGCAACTGTTTGGAGCACAAAATGAATCAAGCTAATCTCGTTTTGGTTAGTATGCTGGTTTCACTTATTGCTTTTCTCTATGCTTATTTGAAAATTACTTTGTTTCTTGCAATATGAATTGACATTTAAGTTTTGCAACTTACGTTTACTGTGGTAGCATTCTTTTTTGCTGCTAGTTGGTGAGCTTTTTGTAATTTCGCTATACAATTCTATGTGTTCGTGCGAATACATTTATATGCTGCAGATAAATACTGATGCTAGCATCTTACATCATGTAATTGCAATGTCAAGTCTGTCCTAGATGTCATATGGGTTGAATTTCTTTGCCTCTTCATGACCATTCAGAAATTATTAAAACAGATGAGTTTAAAAAGTGTAGAAATGGCTGCATCTGCTCTTAATAGTCTTTAATATTACATGATCATTTCTTGGTCTTGTCCTTTGGCATTTTGATGAGGTGCTAGGTAGTTATTTTCGTCTTTGATGAACAAAAACTATCATGTGCATGGAAGACAATCATGTCTTTAAGATTAAGATAAAAAGCTTGAAACAAGAAATTCAAGGGAACTCGATGATTCTTGATCCTAGAAGTCATCTGAAAGCTCATATGTAAGTATAGACATTGCATTTGTAATTTGAGGATATTGTCCTACGTAATAGAACCTAACATAGTTTTTAGCTTAAATAATTGTTCCATTTCAAGGTCAAGGATGTTGCATAGTCCTGTAACCTATTCATGTAACTATAAGAGACACCAGATACTGCACATGTTGCAGGGTAATATTTAAAAATCATGAGAATTTTATATTTTGAACCGTTCATTATTTGAAATGACATCTTGTCCCCTGAGTCACCCAACTTAAATTCAATTTACCCCTTTGTTTATATTGTGTTGGCCAGAAGGGAGTAAAACTAAAATATTCCATTTTAATCATTAGCTAGTCGATAAAAGCGTTTTTTTTCAATTAATGGAAATCTGTTATCTAGTTTGCTTTCAATTTCCAAACAACTTCCCACATTCCACTATGCTCTCATTGTCATAGAGATTGACTACCCCACCAACCATAGATGATTAATGCTTTCTGCATCATAGTTGTCATTTGTGGTCAAACAATTTAATGTTCAGCATTAAACAGTCTCAGCAATGTCAACTTTCAATCCTTTTGTTCTTCCTTTAGCCCAACCCTTCCACTACACCTACTCTAATCTATCTATACATAAATTTGGTTCTGAACTTGCTAATGGTTGTTAGATGATCGATGAAAATATGTGTTCTAGGCATTTTGAGATATAATGTGAGGTTCAAATTATTTCTTGGTTTACAAAGGTTTGGGCTTAGGTAATTGCTCTAACAAAATTGGTAATTTCATTGAGATGTGCAATACATTATTTCTAATAACACAAGGTTTTGTTTGTAAGTTATAATATTAAATTGTTGATGTCAGAGTAGGAATGCTTCTTTGTGGTCTAGCTGGATAGGATTTGAGTCATAGGGATATCCTCCACTTGCACTGGCAAGACTGTGTGCATTGTCTTACCGAGATCCCACATTAATGAGAGAATTGTGTAGTTGGTCATCCTTTTTCTTAAAATTAAATAGCAACATCTAGCTTGGTTTTATGATTGTTGCGGACAACAAAATGTATCTCCTCGTGTGCACTTCTTTTATTATATCAACACAGAATTTACTTGAGCTGGTCGTTATTTGTTGAGATCACCAAAGCTGTGTTGAATTGACCCATATTTTTGTTGTAACTTTGAAGCTGTATCATTCAACTGAAACCGACTGTGACTTGATCTTGACTAATGCTGTTTCAGTTTATAGATCAGCACATTGATCTTGACTTGCTTGGCCGAAACTAAAAGCTAGTTAGAAAAGAAAAAACTAAAACTAGTTGGTTTTGAATTCTGTCCTCGTTTACAGTGTTTTGTTTGTATAGTTGAGGTGTTATAGTTATCTCTCTCATCAAAATGGGTTTGCAAATAAGGTTTTGTCAAATATAATGGGTTTATAGATTGGAGGTTGATATTTATGAAATAATTTGTTGTGTCATACTGTCAACTGTTACAATACAAATCTTTTGGCATCAATTTGATTGAAGAGTAATATTGTTAAAACTAAAGCGAATTTGTTTTATCACCAAAATCTTTTCCTGATGGAGAATACAACGAGCTTTCTAGTGCTTCTGTTCAATTAGTACTAACTGATTGTTTGAAGCATGAACTAATAATTACAAACTGATGCAATATCTTTCTGTATCTTCACTAAAACATACTTGAACATTCAATGTACTGTTTGTAACTTATCTGGGGCTTATTCTTCATATGGTTGAGCAGGTGGAAGAGACTGACGCATCAAATTTTCTTCAGATGGATTTATGATAGTTACTAGCAAATGCACAAAGTGGATTCAGGTGGAAGATCATTTGTCCCCATACTGCAGGATTTGAAGTTACTGGTTCTTCCATGGGTTCCATCTGGAAAAGTCTCTCTCTCATCAATAGGAATGGTAAGCAGTTTCATGTGTTTGCTCTGACACTGCCACTTTTGATAACCATTCAATCTGCAGAAGATTTTTTTAGACCTTTTGGATAGAAATGCTAGAAGCATCACAAGTGTACAGAATTGGGACAAGAATCATAAAAATAGCTAATAGCTTTGTTATTTTGTGGCCATAACCGAGTGTTCTTGACTGGGAAAGTTTTATCCACCAGCTACTTTGTGGTTTTTTTTTTGTGTACATATATATATATATATATAGAAAATGATCTTTGTTTTTCATTTTTTGTCTTTTATGATAGACGGGTACTGGTGATGAGTCATTCGAATTGTTGTATAGAGGACCAACGACTGCTTTTTGCAAAGTTGGTTTCCTTTTTTTCTTTTATTCAGAACAGCTCGGCCAAATAGTTTTGTGGGAACTGCTGTTCCGGATGTAGTTGCCAATGGTTTGGACGGGACAGAAGATACCCGTCAGCGGTCGTTCCTCTATTCCCTTTATCCCCTTTGTTGGGGTGGGTTTGTAAGAAGACCAAGTTACGGAACAATCGATCAAATATCATCGATCCTCCTGACAAGTTTGAGTACGTGGATAATCCATTTGGTTACGTCGGGTACACATTGACCTATCCATCCATCCATGTGGCTGAGGGCTTTGACAGCCTAGGCATGACGACAATTATCAGGGGCATCATGAGAAGCAAACGGATGCCTTTCTCAACCCAGCTGAATAGCTGAATGGGATTCTATGGAGGACGCCCACTCGGATGTTGAGCATGACATAGCCAATTATCAGGTCAGTTTTTTTTTTTTCTCTTCTTTTTGCAATATGCTGTCACGCTGCTGCTTCCACCGAGATGATGGTAACCGCAGGACCCGAATTCTTCACTTCGTTAACCGCACACACCATGCCTTCCTTTAAACTGCTAGAATGTCCATGCAGATTGCGGGGACTAAGACCGATGGCGCGTTTCCACGTTGGGACATTCAGCAAGCGGCATGGGGACCACAGTGACTGGTGGGTTTGTGCTATGGGAAGACCCGCTCGGAGCAAACGGCTCTGTTTCTGGTTGCGGGTTGGAGCCTTGCAATTAAAATGCGAATTTAGCCAGCGCCTGATTTATTCCGTACCGAAACCAAGAAAGCATCCTAACTTGAACCGAAAACAGAGCTAAATGAATGAAAGACAAAATTAAGTTATCCTCCATTTGAAACAAGCTACTTTTGAATTTGCTAAAAGCTTTTAAACCATTAATGACATCCGTAAAACCACTTGATTTCATTCAAAATAATTTAAAATCATACATTAAAAGATTTATTCAATATCAAAGATAAATAAACACACAGGATAAGTAGAGTAGAAGATGTGAAAACAAGATCATTGCGCAAGTCCTACCACTTTGCATTCGTACAACGTGAACGGGGATACAGAGCCAACAAAATGAAAGCCAAATGACAGAGTTCATGCTATCATATACTAGGTTACACTGGAGCATACCCCCGAGACATATAGGTTACAACACTAGTACATCATAACGAGGTGAAGGTGCTAACGTATCAGGCGTTCACTGCTGGGTGCTTGAATCTGGTGGCTCTTGCGGCATTTGTAGCTTTATCCGGTAAACCTTGTTCGCCTGCTGCTGCTTGTCGTTTGGACTCCTAGAGGATATCTCATGTCTGCCAAATCCACCAGCATGATTACCTCTGACCAGAGGCTGTTTACTTGGCCATTCCATGGGCTCTTGCCGACTAACAAACCCACCCCCAAACCCCCTCATCATTTGCTTATCAATCCAGTCCATGGGCGGGAATGGTGGAGGCGGGCCAGCATTCTGGATCAGCTGTTGTTGATGGTACGAAGAGCCCCCAGCATTCGGCATCTGCGGGTGTGGTTGCACCTTTGGGCCCTCTCCCACTGTCAGACGCGACATTTCTGTTCTTATACTATCATGCTGGCCCTGAGAATTTGACATCCCCTGCATCCTTATGTTTTGTCTACCAAATTGAGCACCATCATGAAATTTAGGCCTGGAGTTGGAGAAACCCAGAAAACTACTGCTAGAATACTGATGGTAATTTGAATCCTCAAAGAAGCCTCTTTCATATCCCAATGGTCCAGCTGGCCTGGATTTGTTGCCAAAATTTGGAACGTTGCGGTATGGTGTGTCAAGCAAGCCAGTATTATTGTTCGATCTGATTTGTAGAGAGTTTTTAACAAGACGATGAGCTGCTTCTCCAAGGAGATGGCCAGACAGCGCTCCAGACACCTGAGGCCTGAAACTAGGATCCAACACATCACCATATCACAACTGTACAAAGTTATATTGGTAGCATTATATAACAAGTTTTTGTTAAGCCTCCTAATGAAGGTTTTTTATCTGTATCATCAGCAAGCCATATTCTTTCTAAAGCTGAAGCCTTGATCCCTATTTGGTGCCCAGAATCCATCTCATAGCACAGCTATATATAAAATCATCAATATGCAGGGAATAAATAACTATAAAGTGTTCATTCACCTCTCCCTACTTTGACGCCGTCCATTGTTGTCTTCGTGCCACAACATGGGGAAAGGTTTGATGTCTTGATATCTCAAAATCTGTCAAAGCAGGTTTAACATGAGTATTAAAGTGGGGCATCGCATATCAATATTTTTCACTTCATGGTAAGAAATCAAGCTCATTATAGAGGTAAGATTAATTGGTCCAGAAAATATAATGAGAAAGTAAATATAACCATTGCAAATGACTTGTTTAAGTATCTAGTGGCACTACCCAAATAGATAGCTCTACATATATGGCATATATAAAATATGTTTGATAAACAGAAAATATCTTTGATAGAAACATTTTGAACAAATAGATAGCTCTACATATATGGCATATATAAAACCAGAGTAAAATGCACCCTTGCCATATGGCAAGCATAAAAATTTGATTTTTGCTGGCTGTAGAAGGTGGCGTGCACCAAGGTTCGCAATACCGTACCGTACCGGAGTTTCGATCTGGGCTCGGTACCGGTACGGTACGGTATACCGCTCGGTACACCCAGGTGTACCGAGCGGTATATTCAGGCATGCCGAGGACTGTAGCAGTGCTATACTACTACAGTGTCGGAACGGTAACATATGGTCCGCGTACCGAAAGTCTGTCGGACCGGTACATACCGCCCGTACCGGGCGGTACGGACCGGTACTGCAAACCATGGCGTGCACCATTCTGGTGAACAGTACTGCAAGTGACTATTAAATGTGTACAGGAAACCTACATCTTTCTAAGGTAATAAGATATAATAAGTAAATAAGAACGGAAGGATGTTGTTAAAATTCATTTTTACTTGGCTATTTTTAAAACCCATGTGTTTTATGACTCCTCTCCATGTTTCTCCATGCAAATCCCATTTCCTGTGTTTCCCAAACCCTCCTAGCCCTATGTCATCAAGTTTCTTCGCCATATATACTGCATACTTGCATTCTGGTGGTGGATTGACACTTTGACAGTACTCCATGTTGACAAAACTATATATTCGATAGTGATACGAAATTATCATGATTGTTATCTCAATCTTCAAGCACGCTCAAACTATCTCATCAAAATTCTTCAGCATATATACTGCATACTTCCATTCTGGTAGTGGCTTGACAGAACTCCATGCTGACGAAACTATATCCTCAACAGTGACACAAAATTATCATAATTGTCATTTCATTCTTCCAGAACACTCAAACAACCTTTATGGAGATCTGAAAACGTGGTCACTGCAGCATCTAACGTACGGCTTAATATTACAGTTGCTAAGATGGCTAACATGATAACCCCAATAAGGAGGTATATCAATGTGGGTAGTGTCTGTATCAGGCATGCCAGCCAGCATGGAAGTTCATGCTTTTGAGCTCCAAGTTATTTATTGCTATCCAAATATGCATTCGTTGCAAATAACTTAAACTCTTCAGTTATCTTTATTGTTTAATTTTACCAGGTCGAGGCAGAATGTATAAAACAATGCTTGTGACATCTAAACTGCCCATTTTCATGCCTCAACCAATCCAATACGAATAATTGTACATGAAAACCAAGCCATAAAAAGACTGATCAGTTGATCAGCTGATCAGTCCAAACAAACAAAAGGATTAACACAATAGTAGTATGGTATTACCTTCATAGGCATTTTCACGCCATCAGGAGGTTCTGGAATGTGTTTGTGGTATTGGGGATTAATATATGTGGCATTCCTGCAAAATAAAGGGTAGAAAGATAAATATGCCAAATACAGTTTTCATGAACATCGAGAATATCTTTCAATGAAACCGAAACCAGTCTAAGATTAATTTAACTACTTACAGGACTCTATTGTTCCCGATGCTGCTTAGGCCTTTAATGGGAGTAGGTATTAATGTACTGTAGCGATTTCTTTCAGACAGACATAGGAACCCATTCATTCCATCACTGAAAAATAATTTTAAAAAAGAATGTATGATAGAAGTTAAAAGTGCAATCATGACCAGAATTTTTCAATGTCTTATATGCAGAAAGCATATCATACAAACCTAAAGCTCGTTTCTATTGGAATACAATATGAAGGCTCTTGAACTGGTAACTGGGAGCACATCCGATATAATAAAGCAACTTGTGCAGCCAATTGATGACCATGGTGAACATATATTATATCAAACATTATCTTATTCCTTGACCTCTCTTCTTCCTGAGAAAGTATTACCAGTGGTCAGTGTTCCAACAGAAATGCTGTGGCTAAAGCTCACACAAATCAAGACCATAAGGAGGAAGTCTCCACACCGTTAAAGTGTCTTCAAGTTTCTTGGTTTCAGCAAGCAAACGTCTCTCGTCAATAAATGGTAATTTTGCAACACCCTAAATTAGAAAGGTTGCTATAAGATAAACTGATAAACTCACTAGAAAGAACTATAGCAAAGACGATATATAACATAAACTACCAAATCAGATGAAATGACTTGCCTGCCATGCGAAGCGTTTGCCATTCATGTCTATTTCTAGGTCTGCATAATTAAAAAACAGCATAAAAAACGTGTTTTTTATTAAGATAGAATTTTTCAAAAAACAACAAGGATTCAAGAAGCAAAAGGTCCAAGTGCTAAAGTTTTACCTTTGGGATAGAAGGAACTTAATGGTGATGTTGGATCAGTCATCAATGCCCCATAATGCTTAGGCAATGCATTTGCGCTACATAAATCATGGAGAGATTACAATTAAACATTGTGTTAATTGTTAAATACAAAATAACTTGCAGTCCGACATTACACTTCAATAGAATACGCAAATATCATAGAAAGTCAGATTTTAACTGACCTAGAAGCTGGTAGTGTTCCCATTAGTTGATCAAATGGCTTAAATGGTTGACCCAGAAAAAACGTGATCTCCAAATCAGCCAAACCTTTAATGTCAGATGCGAAAGGGGCATAATGATATGGGTAAAACCTGAGAGAACAATTACCAGTTTTGATGTGTTTAGAGTGCAGTAAAGTTGTAACCAAGATGCAATTAGATTGATAATGAAGTCCTATGTCAGATAAAAGTTTGATGTTATTTTTCTTGTGAAAAACAGAGGCTATAGCTAGGGAATAATTGTTCACTAATGTATTCTTAGCTGTACTTCGATATGCAAGGTAACTGGTACCCTGATTAACAAACAATACACTTTAATTCTAATCCAAGAAGCCACGTCCAATGCATGATTCCAGAACAACTACAACTTAAGTACCGTAAGTGTCTGAAGAGGGCGAGTGCATATATTTTATCTGTGTTACTGTACCCTTTCTTTACCATGTATGTGTTATTCATTACTATAAAGTTACTCTTACCCTATTGGTCATTTGTATCTTCTATTAAACAGAAACAACTTCAATTGCCTTAAAGAGACAATGCCAAAAAGGTAAGTGATCTGTTATCTGCACTAATTTCTTCTGATGTTATTTACAATCAAATACATCGATAGAAAGTAAACGTTCTGGAAAAATCTGTAAGATTTATTAAAGATAAAGCGGGTTCATAATTTATAACTCAGGACATATAGTTTAAGATAACTAGAATCAAGATTCCAAATATTAAGACAATTCCGACACCAATGACCACACAATTCTCACAAAATTTTGAAATGAACATTAACATAATGCCAAAGAATGTACAGAAGACATATAGTAGTTCCAAAAATCAAATACCAACCACTGCCAAGAGCAGACACCTTGGTAGTAATATCTCATTATCCAGCAAAGGCCTTCAACATATTTCTGGACCTGAGATGTAGAACTACATATCATTAACCTACCAATTAGACATGAAAAAAATTACACTGATGTTGTCTCAGTTGCTCTTCAAATAGGCAAAAAAGACACAAAAATAAAAAATTGTTCCCAGCTTTTATAACGATATCCATGAAGGTATCAAACATATGTTCCAATTAAAACCTTGAAGCAATGGCCTGAAGCATCGAAACATCATATTTCCTTCCATTATAACAACCTCAAACAATTTTAGAAAGCAGCCATTCTGAATACTTCAAAAAATACCGAACGACTGTCAAAGCACATCCTTTTTTATTATCTATGCAGCTTGTTTATCATTTATATTTCTCTGATTTGCATCTTCATTTAGACTTCAAAAAATATGGTTGGCTGAATACTGTTTGCTAAAACAGCAGCAAAGTTTGTTTTGCAACTTTTGGAGCCTGAAATTTTGTAACTGTTTTAGAACTTTTGCCTCTTGGCATTTCAGTGTACAGAGTATGTACTAACGTTGGAAAATTATCGGATGGAATCACGGAAAATTATAATGTACAAACCAGTGACTCACAACATCTCTTTTAACATCGTCAATCAACTTTGGTTCTTTGACTCCAAATTTCTCAGCATAGTATCTCTCCTTGTATCCAGGTTCTCCTAATTTTACCTGAAAAACAGTACATCACAAATAAAATCCAGCTTAGCAACAATTTCCATTGAAATTTACTAGTCATCAATAATTGAACATGGTTTAAGTGATTTGAATAAGCTATCATATTTAGGCCAGTAAAAGTAAGTCAACTAAACATGAGAAAAGTTTATTTTACATGTACTGGTGCAAGCCTGCAACATCACATTTATCCATTAAAATAACTCCAAGTGCAATAAAATGTTACTACCTTAAAGGTATAAATGCATGCTTAGCAAACCATCCAGAGGATTATAATTGAGCTCCTTGAAATGAAGTCAACATGTTTATGTGGCATATTACAAGAGTAGAATGGGTTAAAAACCATAATTCACAACAATAGGATGCTTCAATATGATGTGACCAAAAAACTCATTTACCTTTTTTATTCATCATCTTTCCTGAAACCCATTCAAAACATGTTACTTTTACGTGTTCTTTAGCTAATAACTCTTACTTTTTTTGTTAACGATATTAAAATTTTAATCTTCAACCAAAGCAGATCAATACCTAATGCCACTACACTTCATGCATTTCACTATTAAAAATTTATTCTGGTTAACCCATCAATGGAACTTTTTGGTGCATATTTCTAATCACCATTTTTTGCTCATAATACTTCCATTTTTATTTCCTCTTAATCCATAAAACTCAAGGACATCAAGCTATGTGCTGCTGAATACTAGCAAAATATGTACCCCTCCCCATACCTTTCCCATTATTCCTATGATTATTGCAGTGATCTTCAACTGAGAAAAGGTTCATAACGTAAGGAGAGAAACAATGGTCATACAAAAAAAGTTATACATCAAACTTGAACGATGTGGTGGAAAATTTGGCACCATGACAATCCAAAATGGACAAGAATCCAAGTGTCTAATCTGGCAAGGAGACAAAATGGACATAAGTGGACACACAGGACTAAATAAATTTCCAAAAACAATTATATGTTGTAATGTTGTGAGAATGTGAAATACCAAGACTTTTTTAATATGTTCAAAATTAATAAACAATCCATTTATGTTATATATCATTTAACATTGGACTAGTATAATAACCAAGTCTAACAAGTATATATCTAACTCATAAACACATGGACATGTATCCAACATGGCTTGTTGGTGTGGACATGAGTCCACATAACACATAAACACAAGCACTAGCATAGTGCACAACAATGCTTGGTATGAAAAGAAAGCTGCATTATCCCAGCAAATAAAGATATTTTTGTGCCTCAAACCCATGACCCAGCTTGCAAAGAACCAACCTTTGCAATGTCTTCCTGTGCAACAAATAGAGTTGAAAAAGTAAAGCTCTAAACGATGTATTTGTTAAGGAGAAAGATGTAAAAATAGTAGTCTGAAGGAAGTTTTCAACCATAAACAGCCAGGGAGAAAAAGGTTTATCTATACTGTTAAAAGATATAACAGGAATGTCATGTTTATGAAGTGGAAT